AAAACAAAGAAAAAAAAAGGAAAATTGCAAAATTGAACAGACTTTTTTTCAGATCTCTTATCTATAGCTATTTTTTTGCATAAATAATTTCATGACGAATTTCATTTTTCAAAAAATAATAAAAATGTAAAGCGTCTACCTTATAATCATGATTAAATAAATTAAACTTTAAAAATGTTGTTTTGTCTTATATATTCGTGTTGCACAAAGACACTTCAATTTAGAGAAATTAAAACAAGCAAAAACATCCAAATGAAAAAAAAAATTTTCTTAATGTTCTAACTTAAATAGAGCTGGCCAAGTAAATCTGATGAGAAAGAGAGAGAGAGGGAGGGGTTAGATAAAAATATTTATATTGATTCTATTTATCTAATATTGAGAAATGTGAAACTCTATTGAAAAAGATGAGTTTTCAAAACAAATGAAATATTAAAGGAAAGAAAATTTCATTTTTGTTCTCTAAACTATATATACATGTATAGCTATTTATTTTTAAGATCTCCAAATTTAATATACATGTAACTCTTTGGTACTTATGTGTTGTTGTTTTTTTTTCACACGGAGTTCAAATGGTTTAAGCATTATCTGCAAATTAATTCCTTAAGCAATGACGAACTTTGTCTTTCATAAAAGCTCGATCAGCATTGATTGTCTCTTAACAGATCAATTATCAAGCTAAAAACTCAATCATCACTGAACTGATAATCTCATTGCATTGTGGAATAATATATTGTTTAACCTGCCATCAAATTATGGATAAATATTATTCAATATGCTTAAATATGATTTTATTTGTTTTGGTTGATAAAAAATCCTTATAAGTTCAGGGTCGGGTTTTATTTCTACATGTAAATGCTGACAGAAAATAAAATTCAATGCTGAAAATACATGACATAAAACCGCAGCAATATGCTTGCATTTCGTTTTATTTTGGTCGCAGTGCAGGGGATGGGGGTGTCCTTATATATTTCCGTAACATGTAGGCTTTACAAGGCTTAGCATATCCAAGCTTCTGGCACCAGGCACGTAGCATCGTTTTTGAGAGGGGGGGGGGGCAGCCAGAGAATTTTTTTTACTTCCCTGAAAAAGTTGACAAGCAAAAAAAAAAAGGTTAATGTTGCACAAAGTCAACTACTTTCAGTACCAATTTTTATACTACGTTTTCCGGACATCACTAATAGTAGAGGGGGGAAGAGGCAGACTTTTTTTTAATGTCAACTACTTTCAGTACCAATTTTTATACTATGTTTTCCGTACATCACTAATAGTGGGGGACCAACCAGACTTTCAATTATCAATTCCTTTAGTATAAGTAAGGTTGGGGAAAAAAAATGAAAGGTCACCCACCCCTACCCCAACAAAAGCTATACATATAAACCGTAAATGGCATCTTTAATTTAATTCTATGGGTGTGATTCTAAAACCATCCATTTCATAAAATAAAACCAGATTTTTTTAATTTTAGGGTATCATTATATACATGATTAACAATACTGAATTCATAGCAATTCAGTTCCAGGCTCATAGTGTTTATGATCGCTGTGCGATTTTGAAAATGGCAATGCTCAGAATTAAAGGTACAAATATAAAAATGAAGAATAATAGGCAGCATTATTTCAAATCTAAATAAAAAAGTGAATCTGCAAATTGTAGGGTTAATGGTACTGGGTGCACCTAAAACTTTTGAAGTAAAAAAAAAAAAATTATTTTAACTCGTGTTCATAAGAATTGTAAGTTTCTGCCATTTAGATTTTTAACCCTCCCCCCTCACCAACATACACATAATCCTACAAATGTTAATCCTGGGTTTATCTGTTGTGTAAATGATAGCGGATTATAACTTTTTCATTTGTTTGTAAAATTTCCATCTTTTGATTGGTTAATATTAAAATATTTTTACTACTAGACTGAAAACGATTTCGTGTATCCTTTATATTTTCAAAAAAGCAGTGTCATTATTGATCCAATACAGACAACCTTATAGATGCAGTGAATCAACCAAATTTCCTTTTTCTTTACTGTCTATTGTGTATCGTAATTACATGTTACATGTACCACACTTCACAATTTTTCTGTCTTTATATAAAATTTAGAAAGAAAGAACAATCAAATAAATTTTCGCTTCGCAGTTTCGCAGTAGCATTTAGGTAGCGTAATGTTGTTCCAGATATAATTTTAAAAAAATTAATTTTCACATATATGGTAACTAAAGATATGTCGTTTATGCTGAAATCTTGACCTATCGAGAGCAATGTTTAAATTAAAATAATTTTCAAATGAATTCTACAGGCTTATCATATTACTCTTGCATGGATTACCAGTAAATATTTTGTTTGAGAAAATAATTGTTAAAACAAAATTGAATGGATGTTGCCCGCTGTTCAGGTCTCCCCCTGGTATCATAGAAAAGTGAAATGTAAAACAAACACTCACTCATAATACTATACTCCACTGATGAATCCATAATATATAAATAACTAATATGTTTTACGGCGTGACCGTTGAGGCGAGCGCAGTTGTACCATAAAAACACTTGAAAAATTGATCAGCCACTTCAAACATCAAGTCGCACGAGACATCTCGACTAGCTTTGACGTCACATGACGTCACGGAGCTCGTCGGAGCTTAAGGAAACGGCCGACCGTCTGTTTTAAACTACAGATCTAGCACAATTTCGGTCGAAAAACATTGCAGAGTTATTTTTTGTTTCTTTGAAAGATTTCTACAAACTGAAAGCTTTTTATGCTCTACGTTATTGTTTATTTATTTATCTATTTCACGGAAGCAACCGACATGACTTAATTAGCATATCGTCAAAATTCGTAAGTTTCCGGTGACGTCATTTCTATCATTTCCGAAGGGCAAGGTGAAAGCCGGTGTTGTGGCATGGGGGTATTTTTTTGAATAAGGTAATGCAAAATCATTTCGTTAAGATTTCGGTAAGAAACAATGTTCCTTTATTTTTTTTACTATTTTTGATTTATTTGCGCAAAGGACATTGGGTAGTGCAGGAATTCTGGGAATGTTGCACAGAGAAATTTGGCTGACGTATGTACAGATTTCAATCCGAATTTCCTCTGTTCTTACACGTTAGTCTATTGAGCTCGCTTCGCGAGCGTCGCTTCGCGACGCTCGCTGCGCTCGCTATTAATTAATTGTTAATAATTAAAAGAGACAATGAGATAAAAATAATGTGCATGGAAAAATATTAAATATTATACAACTATTAATCACCGTAGTAAAATTACAGAAGAAAAATCATTTAACGTTCACTCTGAAAACGTTTGACGTTGTTGAAAAACATGACGTCATTATCAACCTGTTAAAGTATATTTGATAAAAATGAAGAAAAAACCTACTTAGAGTTGACGTAGGACCATAAGAATTCATATTTGACAACTTCTAACCTTACTCTATCAGAATCCATGAAAAACTCAAAATGCATAAAAATTGCCATAAGGACCCTTTTCACATGGGCGCAATCAATTATTGACTCAATTTTGACTTAATATCACTTTATTAACATTAAAGCACAAAAACAATTCATTGTACAAATATTTTATTTCTTACAGTCACCAATATATCCAAATATCATCACCGGCCCAGACGTCATTCACTCCTTTGAATTGTGCTGGTAGCAGTAAGGTGTCATCATTTGAGATGGTCACAGTATCCAATACACTGAAGTCACAGGACTCAAATTTCATACATGTTCACAGGTAGGTGTATAGACTTTGAAATTACCACAATTGACTAATTCTGGGACAGGTAAGTATGTAAGAATAGGAATGAGAGCACCAAATCCCCGGATGCACACATGGCTTTGTTTGTTATGGAACATTAAACCGAATACTGAATGGGTAGGCGTTACGCCATTGGCTGAAATCAGGTATTTAATTGTTTTCATTTTAAAGTAAAATTAATGACCTTTGAAATAAATGATGGGATGAGGGAATATTACAGAAACTATAGAAATGCCAGGGAAGATTTTAGGAGTGGGGGTTGATTTTTTATGCCGCGTTTTTTTATGTTTTTATGTTCTTTACTGCGAATCTCTAAAAGTTGAAAATAACTGCAATTTTGACCTATAAACGCCATGGGACCATGTATTTTTTTCAGTATTTTTTGTTAGGGCTTAGAACAAAGTTTGAAATGATGCTAAAGATTTTTCTGAAATTGTCATAGTAAAGTACTGAGAAGGCCTAAGGTTTGTATGGAGTTCTATGGGAAAATAATTAGTGGACTTTTCCCTATACAAGATGCTGTCTGATGGCGTAGTGTAGAATGTAGCGTAGAATGTTTTCCAAGTCAGCTTAAATGCAAAGGTTTGTTTTAAAATTTATCATAATGACTTGCAAAAATTTAATGCAGTTAAATTTATTGTATTCTTGAAAGATTGACTGTAACACAATTTTTTTACACAATTACAAATAATCAAATTAATTTGTTTCCAACTTTTTTTCAGGGTCTCTGCCAAAATCTTTTGAGGATTTTTCCTCTGCTAGAGCATCCATGGATGCAATTGAAACAATCCAGGACATCCCAACACATATGGATAATCAGGCCATGGCCTACAGTATGTACAAAAGTTGCCATACTTTTAAAGCAGTAACTTGCGTGCCTCCAAATGGTGCACTTACATTTTGCTCCATGCTGTACCCAGGTTCTACTTCTGATGTAGCTATTGTACGTCACAGCCAAGTTTTACGAAAGTTCAAAGCTGGAGACCTTATTTTGGTGGTCAAAGGTTTCACCATTCATGACCAGTTGCCCCAGGGTGTCTGCTTAATTATAAAAGCTCTTTTATCGACACGAGGCCAGTTTACCATACAAGAAGCAGCACTGTGTTACAAGATTGCTAAAGCACTTATTCATGTGGAAAGAGCCAACGAGAGGATAAAGAATTACGAGATTCTCCGTCACATACCATCTACTTACAGACCAATCTCAACAAAAATATTTCAACTCTGTTCTTGTCTTGTAAACTTGCAAGCTCCACTTTTGAAAGAAATTACTTAAAGATACATGTACTTATTATAAATTTGCATTGGCGTGTGACAGTATACACTAAACAGTGAAGATATTCATACCAAAGTGCAAGGGATAAGCAAACTTTGATTTGTTATCAATGTCAATGGTTATATTTGTTAACTTTGTAGTATGTTGTAATACATATACTTCAGAAAATGAAAATCCCTTTTGTTAGCATGGATTTATTACAAGAATGTTTGGCAATTCCATTCTTCATTTGACAATATAATTTGGAAGAGGGTTTACTTATAATTTTAAATCTCTAGTTTAAAGTACATTTACCTTTAAAGCACAACTCAACAAATTCATGTTTTCAACAATTTATCTATTAAGAAAGACCAAAATGTTACATTTTCACTTTGAGAATAACATCTTCAATTCATTAATAAAATGATTCTAAATTTTGATATTCTTTTTTTATGTAGTACATAGATTTTATTAATCATCATTGCTATTTAAAATAGTCTTATAAGCCAGAAGTTTTATGATGGATTGTGACATATCATATCATACATTTATGAGACTTAGGAACATTCAACACAATTAACACGATTACCCATTTTCCATTGTTAGAAAATTCTAGAGGTACAAAACTAAGTGTCAAGAAGTTCAAACCAGAACTCAGTTTTCCATCAGTGCTGGAATGAAAATGTTAATGTAGAAATCTATCAGCTTTGGAACATTTGCTGTCCATTCAATGTCTTTTACTATTCTAATCACAATGCAGTCTACTCTTGTCCACACAATTAAGTCGCAGAATGTTTTGTTACATATGTGTAGCTGGCCTTGAATTTGATGATAGTATGGGTGACTGGTTTTCAGGCACAGGGTATCTTGTTTAAGATCTAAAAAAAAAAAATCAAAAAACACTTAAGTTGTGTTATACCAGTACATATCCCCTCCTTTTTCAATATCTTCATACCATATTGAACAGCTGCACTTGTAAATTAATACATGTTTTGAAATCATTTACTCACCAAGATTTTTAATTTCAAAGTACTAGACAATACAGATTTTTAATGTTATTTACCTATGAAAAATCCTTCAAATTTTGTGCCCCATCTGCTACTGTTGAAGACGATGCTGTATATGGACACTTCACCTCTACAATATTAGGAATGGCGTCTTTGGCTTCTGGAGTTTGATAAAATACACTGCATGTTGGTGGTCGAACAACTAAGCCATCAGGTGAAGCTCCCAACACTCCGGATTCATGCAACCATATCCTTTTCAGAAAAAATTATAATACTACTGAATGCAAACAAACCATAATACAATTGATTTTGTAATGCAAACAAAGTCTAAGTAGAGCTTTTATAATCCTTCCACTTCAAAAAGCAAATTTTCTGGAATATGTTGGTAACTGAATATTTATGCCCCGCCATGAATATGGCCGGGGCATATAGTGTTTGTCATGTCCGTCTTCCGTCCTTCTGTCCTTCCGTCCCACTTTGTGTTTAGCTCTGTTCAAAGCTAAGTTTCAAAGAAACTATCCAAGATATTTTCATCAAACTTCATATGCTGATAGATATTGATGAGAGCTATGCAACTGCATTAACATTTTTTGACCTTGACCTGACTTTTCTTAAATAGTGTTTAGCTCAGTTTTAAACATACCATTCAAGATGGTGTTATCAAACTTTACATGTTGATACAAACTTGCATAGATGATGCATCTAGAGATGAACACTACCGGACATGCTTCGGATGCTGGATCTGACCTACATTTTCCAGATGAGTGACCAAATTAAAGTTTTTGGAGCAGGTCCATTCTTAAGGAACTATAAGCCCTACTTAGACCAAACTTGCTTGGATGATGCATCTAAGGATGGACACTACCAGACTTGCTTCGGATGCTGGATCTGACCTACATTTTCCAGATGAGTGACCAGGTTGAAGTTTTTGGAGCAGATTTATTCCTAAGGAACTATCAGCCCTACTTAGACCAAACTTGCATGGATGATGCATCTAGGGATGGACACTACCGGACTTGCTTCGATGCTGGATCTGACTTACATTTTCATTCCCAAGTAACTATAAGCCCTACCTAAACCAAACTTGCATGGATGAAGCAGCTAGGGATGGACACTACCAGACTTGCTTGGGATGCTGGATCTGACCTATATTTTCATTCCCAAGTAACTATAAACCCTACCTGAACCAAACTTGCGTGGATGATGCATCTAGGGATGGACACTACCAGACTTGCTTTGGATGCTGGACCTACATTTTTATTCCCAACTAACTATAAGCCCTGCCTGAACCAAACTGATCAAATTTTATACATGTACAAATTTCATGTTGCTTTACTAATATATCCTCGGCGGGGCATTCATGTCCTATGGACATATTTCTAGTTTTTTTTTACAATTAGACTTCAGTAATTGATTTCTGTTTGTCACCAGGATAAGTCCTGTTATTTGTTTTGACACAATGAATGTTAACATGTCAGAGATTGAAGGAATATTATTTTGTGCTGTATACCTGACTGCTCTACAGCTGCATCTAAGTCCTTTTCATACTTTCTCAAAGCATCATCTTCATGAGTGATACCCCATGCAACAGCCTTGATGGACTCCAGATTGTAAGCCGACATCAGCTGTTTCTTCAGTGACAATGTCAATCTGGAGAAGAAAATATGATTTTTGGTTATTAATCTTATATTTCCTGCATCTTTATGTACAAATATCTAGTCATTACAGTCGAACCTCATTATCTCAAACTCAATGAGACCAAGAAAAATGTTGGAAATATCCGTGGATTCAAGAATAACACATAAATAGTTATCAAGAATAAAATGTCCCAGTCTTTTATAAATGGTTTGGACTTCAAAATTACTGTGACATATCCATGAAATATGAGATAATGGGTTTGAGATAACAAAGTTTGACTGTAATTTTAAAAGTCTTTTTCGCAAAAATTTAATCACACGTCTTACCGCCTTTGCTTAGAACTGAGAACTGCACCAAAGTTGGAAGCTGATATGCTATATTTCCTTACAATCGACCACATTGGGTTGTTTCGTTGCCAATGCAGCTCTTTTAATGGATTCAGGGATAATGCATTCTGTAACCATACCATAGGGGTATCAGAATGAACATACTCTGGTGATGTTAATAGGTCTTCAATGAGAGGTACAGGTGGACCAGGTTCACATGGCTCTGGTTCAAGAATCCAATTCAATGCTGAAAAATTTCATTACTTGTGTCATTCTCAAAAATATCATCCATAATATCCATATCACATATACCAAGTATTTATATAAGAGTCCATACATTTCATTTTAGTGAACACTGTCATGGGTTTTTGTAATGTATGCATTACATATCAAATTTACAACTCACTTGCATATATTTGTTTCAGAATTGTTCCTGTATATAATTTTGCACAAACATGTAAAAATTGGTGCAAATGTACAATTAATATTTACTTAATTATTAACAAGGTTTCATAATGACAGAGTATTTAAATAATAGAAGAATGATCTGATAATTCGCAAGAATATGAAACAAAATATTTTTTTTAATGCAATTGAATAATTTATTTTTCCTTTCAAAAATGTATGCTCATGTACAAAAATGCTATCATATTTATAATATTGTCTTTCCAATTATTCAAAGGTTGTTATTAATATTTATTACATAATATGTTCAAAAATTGGGCAATATACATAGCCAACTATATTATACTCCTCATCTTTGTACATTTGTTCACAATTAAAATTAACCATCGTTCAGTAACAAAATAACAGTTTCATAATACTCGTAATACAAAAATCAAATCAAACTTAAATAACAACAATAGTTACACCAAAATCATAACTTCCTTCTTATATTTTACCAATAAACCTTCCAAGGTGCAAAAAACACTGGTCACTTTCATCAAAGGTTCGGTTTAAAGCACTTCAAATATGAAGCAAATTTTTTAACAACTGATTTATTTATATTTAATGATTGATCATTTTTTAAAAAAAAAAAAAAACCAAGAGGCCTATGGGCCACATCGCTCACCTGAGCACTGTGGCTAGGAAAAAGTAAAAATTGGTTTTTTATTGAAAAGTTTAAATCCAAAAGTAGTCCCTTGACCAATCATGGCTTTGCTTTTCTTGAGAAGGTTATTTTTAAAGAATTTTCCTATATATTTCTATATAAAAATTTGATCATCCTTTGTGGCATCGTCCTACCCCCGGGGAACATGATTTGAACAAACTTGAATCTAACTACCTAAGGATGCTTCCATATAAATATGATCAATCAGGGTTTTGCTGTTCTTGAGAAGAAGATTTTTAAAGATTTTTCCTTTATATTTCTATGTAAAACTTTGATCTTCCATTGTGGCCCCGCCCTACCCCAGGGGTTATGATTTGAACAAACTTGAATTGACACTACCTGAGGATGCTTCCATATAAATAGGATCAATTATGGCTTTGTCATTCTTGAGAAGAAGATTTTTAAAGAATTTTCCTATATATTTTTATGTTAAACTTTGGTCAGCCATTGTGGCTCCGCCCTACCCCCGGGGGTCATGATTTGAACAAATTTAAATCTACACTACCTGAGGATGTTTCTCCATAAGTTTCATTTTTCCTGGCACAGTGGTTCTTGAAAACAAGATTTTTAAAACATACCATCAAATTTTCATTAATTCCCAATTATCTCCCCTTGAATGAGGGTGTGGCCCTTTATTTGAACAAACTTGAATCCCCTTCACCCAAGGATGCTTTGTGGCAAGTTTGGTTGAAATTGGTCCATGGGTTCTAGAGAAGAAGTCGAAAATATGAAAAGTTTACAGACAGACAGATGGACAGACAGACAGACAAACAGCTAGATAGACAAAATGTGATCAGAAAAGAGCTAGAAATGAAACATTCCTCACCACAAAAGCCAGAAGAATATAGGGACCACCACCAGTAACATGTTTCTGGGAAGAACCAAACCATGCAGAGATAAATATCAATAGTCCTGAATCTTCGATGCAGGACCAAGTACGAGAATTGCTACAAACACTACTCCGGAGACTTACCTATTATCCTATGATGTAACGTACTTTGTTCACTGCAGCTGGTTCCCTCATAAGCTGGTAGCGAGGACAGCTAGTTCAGGATGTCCTGTCAACTTTATTCCTCAACTTCCTGTCTTGGACTGAAAAGCAATAAGTGGAAATCTTTAGTGTTGCCTAGTGACTTTGAATTAAAAAGAAAGTTTTTAGATTGTGAAGGGGGGGGGGGGTACTGATGTTGTGCATTTTAATTAAATGTACGAAATCTGTATTTCACAGTTTAATGCATTCATGTATTTTGTGAATTGTCTTAGGATTCATGTAATAATTGTTGCTATGTATTATTAAGCACTAAATCTATTCAACTGCATGTGTAAATGGGGAAAATGTGGATATGTAAATGATGTATAATTGCAATGTGTAAAATGTGACATTTTCTTATATGAGGGAGTCTGTTCATGTAATTTTTTTTTCATTAATTATTTTATTTATCTTGATAAAATTATTTCAATTAACAATATTGTTTTTCTTACCAGTCTGATGAACTCAACAAAGGTTACAGAGGTGAATGGTAGAAATATGGGTATTACAGGTGTCAAAACTCTTCGTTGATGACAGACTGCATGCCGCACTGTAAAATCACCATTTTGGATCTTTAAAAGGGGAGGCTACTCCTGAAATCAAAGAAATTGTCATAAAAATGAGTAACCTGATTTTCTTTAGGTCTCACACAAGGAAATAATTTCACTATATGTTACTATATAGCTTTAATTAAATAAATTAATTAACTAGACTCTCAGCAGATAATTCATGAATGAGAAAAAAGATTAATGCTTAGACAAAATTTGAGATCAGAAAAAATATACCCCTTATGCAGCTTTTAAGAAAGAAAATTGAGACTAAACATACCTATACCCCGAAATACACATGGGCAAACAGCCAACACACCATCAAGGAAGTTACATCGATCATGCGTACCTAAAAAAAAAAGGTTCCCTTTGATTCAGTGGCACAATTCTGATATTCCTAGTGCATGAGTCCAACATTAAAACTGTAGACCTACGTAAAGTTCATGAAAAAAGAAATGTTATTGTCTCTATATACATCATACATAGAACTACATTTGTTCATTTTGATTGGCTATCTCCTTGCATAAGACCTTTAAGGGGTAATTTTATGATATTTACCATGTGCACTGATTGCCATAAAACTAAAGAAAAAATACCAGCCTTACAAAGTCACTTAACCATGACCTTTGACATACCTTACTAAGAATACCCTGGACAATTTGGTTTAACTTAAGACTTCTGAATTTTTAAATGCAGGTTTTGATAAATTAACCATTTAATATACTTATGAGCTCATAAAACTGTCCTTTAAAACTGTATGATAAAGAGTGTAAAAACTTTGAAACATGTTTGGAAAGTATATTATCACACATGTGATATGGGATAAATTACACAGAAAGATCAAAGAAAATCACTGCAGATATGCGACAATAATTCTTATCATTGTTTATTGTATGTCAAGTCTAGAATATGATATATCATTACAAATATTATGATTTTTAGCCGGGCACATTGCTCGTAGAGCAATGCTCAGCTATAGCGACGGTGAGCAACAGAAAATGCTGCTTCTTCACCGCCAAATTGAGTTTACGAGTAAAAGTATGGTACGTGACCAGCCGCTGTTGAGAAAACAAAATCACCTTAAGAAATAGTAAATTGAATATTTTTATCATAATATTAAATTGTTTAATATTTTTTCCTGGCTCCTTTGACTAATATTTTACAAAGTAATTCAACGGGTGCGAAAGGTTTTCACCAGGTATCCCTGTCTGCATCATATTCTATAAACAATATAATTAAAATTAGATGTTAGATCGGCTCGCATACTCAACACACTAACATCTAACAAGTCATCCCATTGAGGGTCACGTAAGAGGTTAAATTCGGAACGCCTCAAGATTTATTTGCTTCAACAATATATGATGATTTTGCCAGCTGCGATTTGATTAATTGATAGAATTTGACCTCTGACGTGACCCTCAACGGGATGTTGTTAGATGTTAGTGTAGCGAGTATGCAAGCGGATCTAACATCTAATTTGAATTAGATTGATTCTATAAATAAAGGTTGTACTATCTGGCTAACACAAATGCAGGGAACATCATTAATGACTTGATGCAAATCTCACCGCTGAGGACACATCAGTGCAGAGACGTTTGACCTTAATCTTGCTGCATCGGTGTTTATTTACTTCTGTTTGTATATAAAACCGGATTACCCCAAAACGATACGTGATAAATATTTTTCGCTGTTAATTTCTAGCTATATTTTATTTTATTTTTAAAACTATTTAATATTATACATGCCATTGAGATATTTTTGTGTGTATTACATATTCTCTAAACGTCTGAACGTGATTTTAAACTGTCACCACAGTCCTTGTTCATTATCCTGTAAATGAGCCCGGCTCAATACATTTACTATGAAAATAATTGGACAAATTTGTGAATGACAATATTCAATGATGCATAGCAATTAATCTTTTCCTGACATTCACCTTCTCCTAAAAATTTGTCGTGTTATTTATTTATTTATTGCAAAGTCGTCCCTGGACTAGTGCTATGGTCAATGCAGCTGCAATGGGCCATGCAATTTCGAACCCTGCGTGGTGAGAGTTTGTCCCGAGACACAGTTAGATTATTCTAACTAGCACCAATATAGAATAAATCATACCGATTAATCAACATCACTACAATATGAGGACGTAAAAATATTATAAAACATCCTTTAGTCCAGCAATAACTGAATAAGCCACTAAATTGTTTTTGATGTACCTTCAAACAAATCAAATTAATGTTCTTGATTCCCACTTTTCACGTTATGACTGACTTAGTGCTTCTTGATACCAAAACAATTTTTCTATTACCTATAATTTTGACTTTAGGTTGAATTCGCCAATTTCATGCTTGCGAAGTTGTGTCAATGTGTGCATTACGACCGCTCCGGCTACTTTCGTTATTTCTAACCAATGAAAATTATCCTTACTTTTCTGTTGCGTCATGCAATTTTATTGCACGTGTAATGGTTAGGGCCGTGGATATCGGCCTGGATAGCTCAGTAGGTAGAGCACCTGACTAGTGATATAGGGGTCCCGGGTTCGATTCCCGGTCCAGCCACGCATCACTGAATTGTAGAACACACATCACAAGATTTCGAATATACATCACAAGATTATCGAACATACATCACAAGATTTCGAATATACATCACAAGATTTCGAACATACATCACAAGATTATAGAATATACATCACAAGATTTCGAATATACATCACAAGATATTGAATATACATCACAAGATTTCGAACATACATCACAAGATTATCGAACATACATCACAAGATTTCGAATATACATCACAAGATTTCGAACATACATCACAAGATTATAGAATATACATCACAAGATTTCGAATATACATCACAAGATATTGAATATACATCACAAGATTTTGAACATACATCACAAGATATTGAATATACATCACAGAGAATATACATCACAAGTTTTCGAACATACATCACAAGATTATAGAATATACATCACAAGATTTCGAATATACATCACAAGATATTAAATATACATCACAAGATTTTGAACATACATCACAAGATTTCGAATATACATCACAAGATTTCGAACATACATCACAAGATTATAGAATATACATCACAAGATTTCGAATATACATCACAAGATATTGAATATACATCACAAGATTTTGAACATACATCACAAGATATTGAATATACATCACAAGATTTCGAATATACATCACAAGATTTCGAACATACATCACAAGATTATAGAATATACATCACAAGATTTCGAATATACATCACAAGATATTGAATATACATCACAAGATTTTGAACATACATCACAAGATATTGAATATACATCACAAGATTATAGAATATGCATCACAAGATTTCGAACATACATCACAAGATTATAGAATATACATCACAAGTTTTAGAATATACATCACAAGATATTGAATATACATCACAAGATTTTGAACATACATCACAAGATTTTGAATATACATCACAAGATTTCGAACATACATCACAAGATTTTGAATATACATCACAAGATTTCGAACACACATCACAAGATTTTGAATATACATCACAAGATTTTGAATATACATCACAAGATTTCGAACATACATCACAAGATTTTGAATATACATCACAAGATTATCAAATATTGCAACGTTTGACATGCCATAAGCAGCTTTAATGGAGCGTTTAATTTCACTCTCGTTAACTGATTCTTGACTATTCATTTTAAATGTGTCTCGAATAGCCCTTGTTTTCCAGCTTCTCACAACTGAACTATGGGATGAAAAGTGGTCAAATAAATTGTTATCAAATTATTAAAGATTCAATGATTTGAGAAAGTCAATCCTAATGGCATATGATTTCTATGCTGTATGTTATCGAGCTGATGGCATTATTTATTGAACGTCCCTCGTATGCTTCTGTTTTCAATAATTCAGATGTGAAAAGGGGATGAATTAGACAACAAGATGATATGTACTGATCCCTGCTGAAAATACAGATTACAGTTGCAGAATACAACTGCAGATTTTTTGGCTCGTGTTTTTACTTGTACTGTAACTTATTTTAGAGGAACTGAGATTAATTCTGTAATACCCATAGTATCCTTTCTGTCATGTTCTGGTGGGAGTGAAAACAAAATTTTAAAACATGACAATTTTTATTCCCATTAAATAAAATCAAAACTTAGAACATAAAAATTTCTAATGATGAATTTCTGTAAAATCTTTTGTCAGCTTTAAATGTCGACAAAATCTTAACAATTGATTAATTTCCATTCTTATGTTGACTGGATATTTCCTACTGGACATAAAATACACCACAGAGTCTGATACGTTTGTGTCATTTTTGGACGGCAGAGAAAGATAATGATGACAAATTGACACCTTTTGCAAGGAAGTCTAAATTGTTCAAATCATGACCCTCAAGGGAGGAAAGGGACTACACCAAGGTCAAACTATCAAACTTTATATTGGAATACTCCCGGTATATAGGGACATATCTCTATTTGGATCATGCGCCACGGATCGACAGAGTCTGACGCATCTGTTTCATATTTGGAATTTTAATTTTCATTGAAAATGTCGTTAATGGAAGTCTAACAACCAAGCTTTATGATAAACGTGATGACTGTAAATTTTCAATCTTCAACTTTCCTTACTTAAGCAGCAATATACCTTCATTACCTACATACTGGTTTAATGTCTCTCAGCTGATTTGGTATGCGCAAGAGCATACTCTACGTTCTGATAGTACACACACAAGGATACTGAAGTTGACATGATGCTCGAGTTTCTAATTGACAATATCTATGTTGTTTTTGCAGACCAGGTCTTCCAACAATCTATTTGAATTCCCATGGGTACCAGTTGCGCCCCTATATCAGCAGACCTCTTTACGAGGGGTTATCAAAAAGTTCGTGGACTGAGGCTATAAAATTAGTACTATGCAGTCTGTGCTTTCAAAATTTATATGGAACATAAAACAAGAAAAAAATAAAGACATGTTGAAAAATTTAGCCCGATACGTTCATTATTTGCCAAATTATTGTAAAATGAAAACGACATTATATGATCACCCGGCGCTGTCGTCGTTTATTTTCATGACGTCCGATAACGTCATTGGTTTTTTCAATGTCCGCTTCTTCTACTTCATACACTTTTTTGATGAGATTCCCTGGAGCTAAGTAAGGACTTAAACCTGCCTTGTTTGTATGACTTTACAATGTCATGAACAGTGGATTTCAATGAATATAATATTCTAAATGGATTAATACACTGGGAAAGATCCGAATTTGATTTTGCCGGCATATTTTGCTTTTGGGAGTTTAATATCTACAACACATGATTAACGTCATTTTTTGACGTGATTGATTTTTCACACCTTGACTGCAAATCGACATTAGCTGTGTATCCCTTTTCTCTTTGAATATATTTTGACATTAAAGACAAGAACTCTGGATGCATATTATTTCTCTGTAGCAAGTTTCAACGTATTTTAAGTCTATACCAGTTTTTTCAGGGGCAATACTTTATAGAATGTTGGAAACGGAAACCCCTCCCCCCTTTTGACGTCATTTTCAAGGCCTCATTTGTTTGGACATTCCGTGTAAAATTTACCATAACATTTCATAGAACTTTCAGAATGAAGTGAAAATTTTATATTTTATGGAACAATTGTGTCCCGACACAAATCTGTATTAACGGGAATTTTGGATGTCAAATGATCATATCAAAAGAGTTTTTCTTAGTTACACATAGGTCGCAAAAAGGTCGTGTACGAGGTTGCGCCGCCTGGACATACCATTGCTTACAAAAACTTTACTTATTTATTTAAAATTAAAATTTATGATTCATGGTTTATTCTATAGATAGAAAAGATAATGCTAACTAAATATTTTAAAATTCAATAATGTGCCTTAAGCGGTTTTAATTTTATGACGCTAGTCCACGAACTTTTTGATAACCCCTCGTATGTATTCGTATGAAGCAGAATTTCTCCAAAATCTTATGCGTGAAAAGAAGAAACACTTGCTGTGGCCTTCAACTCGACATTTAGATATATCGACTACATGTTGTCAATAAACAATGGTAATTTCCATTCTTATGTCGATACGATATATCCTGGTGAGCGAGTCTGAAACATCTGTTTCATACTTGGATATTTTACTTGAAAAAAAATGGTTATCTAACAACCAACGTCTATGATAAACGGGATTACTTTAACTTTTTAATCGTCAACTTCCCTTACTCATGCAGCAATATTATATATAATACCTTCATCACCTACGGAGTTATTCATATCAGTTGGTTCGACACGCTTGCAAGAGCATGCTATGCGTATGAACAATTTCTAAAACAAGGTAAATTATTGACAAGCAAGTTCATGAAACAGGAATATCAGTAGTTTCGATGAAAGTCATTATTTCGTAAGTTCTATGGCCAATGCAATGATCTTGTCAGCAAATTTCAATTTATCATTGAGTCAAATGCTGACTGACGTTTTTCATACTATGTTAGCCCATTATTTACACCACAGGCACTTGTTTCGGAAATAAATTTTTAGCCCATAGTATAATAATAACACGTTATTATTATACTAAGGGTTAAAAATTTATTTCCGAAACAAGTGGCTGTGATTTACACACAAGATTTTTCCGTTATATCCCATTCATGACAAGGAGCACACGGCGGGTGTGACCGGTCGGTAAGGGATGTTCACTCCTCCATGGCACCTGATCCCACCTCTGATGTTTTGGAGAGCCGTGTTTGCTCTGCTCCTATTTTGAATATATCTCCATATCTTTCATCCGCAATTTTTTTAAAGTTTTACATTGGACAATTTAAGATTTAGAGCTCTAAGATACAATTTTTAAGACTCTTCCCAGGAACCAAAATATATTTATAACAATTATCTCGAAAGAATAAGCAATTCAGAATGGCAGTATCTGTCATGGCTTTATTTTGTTTAAGATAGGGTCATTACATAATGAAACAATGCTATGAAAACAATGGACAATGATCAAGTATTATTGCAAAAATGAGTAAGTATAATCCTCAATATGGCATTTGGCGCCTACGGTTTGCAGAACACAGCTATATGTGCTGACAACCCTGGAGGGTAAACAGAAGTTGCCAGCGATGGCTTGTTGCAAAAGGCGGGTGGGTGATCAAAATCGTCGAGCGGAGAGGATGTGTGCGCAAGCGCATTTAAGACTTGGGGAAATGCAATTATTTTGCGAACATTTCCAAGTTATGTGGATTTATTTTATTTTTATTCGTTTCAAATACATGTAGCCTGACTTATCACGTTGGGGATCCGGGTTATATTACTTTTTTTAACAAAACCAGGTCCATAAATATTGATTTTATTACCCCATTGCTTGTCGTAAAAGGCGAACTTTAAAAGGGGCGGTCCTTCAGATGAACCGTATAAACCGAGGCCCCGTGTTACAGCAGGTGTGGCATTACAGATCCCTCCCTGCTCAAAGGCCGTAAGTGCCGAGCATAGGCCTAAATTTGCAGCCCTTCACCGGCAATGGTGACGTCTCCATATCAATGAAATATTCTGGAGAGGGACATTAAATAGTATACAATCAATTAATCAATCAAATATAGACCTATGTTAGAGTTGGCGTAAATTGAGAAAATAATGCATGTATATCCATATAGTAAGGATTCGGAAACCCCCAGGGTTGAACCATAGCACCATATTGTGAAACTTCAGATCAAAACAAGGAAAAGTATAGTTATGTGCTTAGGAAATTAAACAACAATGAAAAACATTATTTAATCTTAGGAATACGACTAGTTCTTCGCTAGAACTACAATCTACATTCCCGTAAGTTTCAAATTTGGCCAGTCTAACATGCTAATGCATAAATATTTTGAACGAGGCTTCGATATCAGTATTGCATGTCTGTCATAGGGACCACCATAGAATACTTGTATCTAGCTAAATTAATGGAAATTTAAAAAATGACATTGTGAACGACAAGCTAAACCGACAATATAAGACACCAACCTCTGACCGAACAACAGAGGAGTTTACAGTTGTCTGAACATTCCAGGTTAATCATATTTACAACGTCTTTCCACTGAATTCAGAAGCATGCATATTAATGAACGCCTTTAACACCGTACACTTAATTGTTTCTGACAGTTTATTGTTTCTGGTTTTTTCCTGTATGTTCTGTTTTGCACGAGGTGTTCTTTTAATGACAAGTTATTTTTGGTCTACCACTTATGTAAGGCTAAAAACGCAGGAGTTGGCTCTAGCAAATTTTCCCCAAAGTAAGCAGTGTTGCACTTCAATATCATATGAAGTAGATGATCTACCGGTATTTAGTCCATATAACAGAAAGGTGCGTGTATTTTGAAATACATGTAGTAATCAGTTTAATGGCTATCAATTTGCCTCTGCATGTGCATGTCTTATCTATCAGGAACTGTTCTTGAAAAATCTTTTTTGCCCGATTGCTTATTCGCATTCAGGACCAATCAATAAAATATGCATCACGGCTCCTCTGTTTATCAACAATCTTTGCGAAAGTGAGGGGACATTAAATCTCATTCGTCTGTCTAGCTGTCAGTTTAGCTGTCTGTCAGTAAAAACTTTAACCTTGATTACAAGTTTTGAATGAGAAAAGGACTTTAAGGTTCATATATAGTATACAGTACCTATGACAAGACCTTTTTGAAATACACTAATGATATTTGACCCAGTGACCTTGCCTTGAAGGTTGACCTTCAAAAATGTTGACATTGGTGTGAGGAAAAAAAGGTGTTCATATTTAACAAGTGTATTATATGTGAAAATGCTTTTCCAAATATGCTATGATGTTTGACCTCGTGACATCGACCTTAAATTTTTACCTTCTCTATAAAATTTTCCTTGTGGGTGATAACTTTTTAAAATCTAGGATTTTTTATTTAATTCTTGTTACAAAGCCTTTTTTGGGTGAACAATGGTTTTTAATCTCACGATCATGACCTTTAATGTTGACCTAGAGAACTTCTCAAAGTTTAATCATTGTCCGTCCGTCCGTCTGTTACACTTTGGGGTATCCATCTCTTATCTGCAACTCCTCTTATTCCACTGAATGAAATTTAATCAAACTTTCACAGAATCTTTGTTATGTAATTTAATACCATTGTCCACCTTATTTTATTTTTTGATCCGACACATATTTTGAGTTGTCACATAGCAAAACATGGACACTGCATCCTTTCTATAATTTTGAAGGGTACACATCTCTTATCTGCAACTCCTGCTATACCACTGTATAAAATTTAACGATACTTTCATAGATTCTTTATTACATAATGCCATTGTGCACCTCCTATTTTATTTTTTGATCCTGGTCTCCCAGAGCAAACCATGGACTTTGCCATATCAATATATATTGGATGCGGAGTTATCATGTAGTAAACTCAGTGCTCACAATAATCTAGTATTAATGAAATCGAGTTACGAAAATGATGTAAATTATACTCAACTGAAATTAAATGCGTTTTAAAGATGACAAATCATATGCATTGACTTTCGTTCAACGAAAGTAATGCCTCCGTTTGTACATGTATAATCTGACACCGTTTCTAGCGTGTATATCTTATAACTTTGGTCGTAATTTTTACGCCAGAAGTGATATAGCTTTATATTTTTGCACGTGTATTAATTTTGACAAGACCTTTTGGATTACGTGGTATATATTTGACCTCAAGGAAACCCGAGAAAAAAAAATAACTACGGTATATATTCTTACATAAAACATTCTATTCATATTTTAGTTAGATGAGGTCAGGATCTAAAACAAATATAAACAGCACTCCGTGGAAATACAAACATATTAATAACATGATCAATCATGGCAAAGTAATTACGATGTAAACTACTAAATGATACGCCTATGTCCATATATTATGATGACAAAGTCCATGTTTTGCTCTGGGAGACCAGGAATAAGTGCCAGATCAAAAAGTAAAATCGGAGGTGCAGTTGCATCCGTAACTCCTCTTATACCACTGAATAAAATTAAACGAAAGGAGATGGGTGAACATGACGAGAGATAAGCCCATAGCGCAACAAACATGTAGGTCAAAAATTAAATCTCGATTATATCAAAATTTTTCTTAATATTTCACCTGTATACTTTATGTAAAATCTCTACAACTTGCAAAAATCTCATGAAAATTGAAGTTATTTGCCTATGAAATATTATACACACACGAAAGAGGACACAACGAGTCCTTTTTTCACACTATAACACTATTTTTTTATACATTTTTTTTGAAAGGTAGTCCTCAAAGTTGGCATAAAACATACATATTTTGGTTTCCAAAATTATGGAGCAATGACCCACTATACCTTAAAGATATAAGTTTATGCCATAACTTTCGTATCTTTTCGAGAAATACTTGAAGTCCCTTAAGTCAATGGTCATATCACAAACATGATTTAAATGCCACACTTCATCAGGACTTGTGTAGCATAGTGGTTATCAACAGAGAGTGCAAATCAGGATTTTTGAACCCAATGGATACCACATTATTTTTCATTATAAAAGAATAAATTTTAACGAAAAATTTTCCTCAAAACTTTTTGTTTATCATGAATTTACAAAAATCAGTGATGAGAATGCTATAAAATCACAATTTGAATGATTTTTATATATCTAAAGCTTGTGAGTTTTTTGCACGTTAAGTTCACCCATCTCCTTTCAGAGATTCTTTGTTATACAGTGCCATTGTGCACCTCCTATTTTACTTTTTGATCCAACACATATATTGGGTTTTCTAAAACAAAACGTAGAAACTGCCATTCTTTCTATAATATTGAAAGGTACCCATCTTTTTCCGCAACTGCTATTTCACTGAATAAAATTTAATGACATTTCATTGAATTTTATTACACAATGCCCTTGTGCAATGCCTATTTTATTTTTTAATCTGACACTTATTTCGGTTCTCCCTGAGCAAAACATGGACTTAGCCATTATAATCAGGGGGGGGGGGGGGTGTTATCATTTAGTGAGGTTAGTGCTCACATTACCTCTAGTTGGTTTTTGTGATACCCCTCCTAATTTTCATTTCTTAATACACCGTTGCACAAAAGTACTAAAAACAAGCAAGATAACATTGATAATGTTGTTATGAAACAACATATTTTCAACTAGTATTGGCTTTAGCTTTAACTTCTGGAGCATAAATCAGTATTCAAAAGTAATTTTTTAAAACACTTTTCACCAGCCTCTTTTGTGTATCATCCTTGAAATATGTTCAACCAAAAAAAATCATCAAAATTAGGCCATAATAAACAAATTGCTAGATTCTCATCCGAATTTTTTTAAAAATCGAGGCGGGCGGGCGGCTTTTATTTTATATTTTTTATTTGATCAATTTTGAAGTTTTTTTTATTGACCTGGTCAATTGGTGTAATTTTATCTACGATACCCAAATAAAAGTCATAGTAAAGATTCAATTATATCTCTTACTTCACATCATTACCAATCTTTTTCAACCAATGACCCTTGTTTAAAATATATACGCATGTATTACAGCAATTATCATCTTTTCAGCTGTCAAAATCATGTCGACTTTCGCGGGATTTAAAACAAAAGTAGTATGGTAGATGAATACCGATCCCGATCAGAATTAAGACGATGAAAAACAGAAATAAAAAAAATTCATCAAAATTATTTTTATTATGGCCTTATTGACAAATTATATATTTCAGCAAACTGAATTTTATACCTGCTTAACAAACCTGCTGTATGGTATACAATAATAAACAACTTTGTTTCATTGAATATGGTTACATGAACATATGGTTTGCAGCTATATATATATCATTTAGTGGGACATCACCATATTTACTGAAAAATATTGTTTCTTAATGCCTCCTTCTAACATAATAAAATTCTTCACAAAAAATATATACTGCATTGGATTCATTTATACCATGATTTTATTAAGTTCAAACCCTGCAACTTTCTGTTTTTCTGTATAATCATACAGCAAAATTTTGATTAAATTAATGATTATATTCATGAGTCTAGACAGGAAACATTATTGCATGGTGATTAGAATGAACACAATAAATGAGACAGAAATGAATGAGCTTACACTGTAAATATAAAAATAGTATTGTAACTTGGCAAAAACATTAACACTGGGAAAATAGGTGTATAAATAAGACAAAAAAGCTTGTTATAAGAATGATGAATACAAAAGCTCAACAGAAAAAATAAAAGGTTTATGGAGGATATAATGTATATGGTAATCTAAGAATTCACAACCTCCTCTACTATCTGTCACTAACATACAATCTTGTAGGACAAAGCCAGCAGTAGTTGGACATTATGCAAGAGAAAAACACGCCTCAGCAGCACACACATTTATACACTCTGTAATACAGTGTACATGTATCATAGATAATACTTATTGTTTGTTTACAATGCTTTGTCAGTTTGTTTGTACACATTTATACACTCTGTAATATATCATAGATAATATGTATGGTTTGTTTACAATTGGTTTGTCAGTTGTCAGTTTGTTGCATCCTTTTATACACTCTGTTATAATATTATGGTTTGTTTACAATGGGTTTGTCAGTTTGTTACACACTTGGAATGTATGGCTTTCTTATGTGTCATATCACAGATGAAAGATGCTCAAACATAGTTTGAACAATGAACAGGTACATATAAAACTGAAGCACTTAAAAACAATAATATTGTGAGCTGCATGGAGTCAAGACACAGCTTGAAATGTAATTCTGGACGGTTACATCATACTCAAAGGTCATTCTGGACGGCTACATCATCTATTTCTCCATCTGATGACAGTTAATAACCACATTTCTTCTTAAGTTCTTGATAAATAGTCATTTCCAGATGTCTGGAAGATGGTTTTTCCACAGATGCAAGAATAAATGTATAACATTCATTTCTCTTGATACCACTCTGGCAACCCATGTTTCAGATAAATTCACAATAGTGAATACTTTTAAGACAGTGATCAAGAAGACAGTTGAATTGGCCTCAGTTAAAAATCACACATTGCAGAGTGAGAATTTGAGATCCTGTGGGTCAGAATGGGATTTTAGCCTGCTCCTCCAGAAAGAGAAGCTGGTCCACGAGGAAGCAGTCACTGGGGTTCTTGACAAATTCTCGCAGACCCTGCATGATGGTTTCCTCTGAGTCCACTGAGGAAGTCTTCAGGTACCGTGCCTGTTTCAGGTAATCATACGCCTTCTGGAACGCCTCCTCGCCCAAGATCCTCTTACACTCCCTTACAAGAAAATAATGTATCCAATAAATTACATGTTTTGTCTTTTTTAATTATAAATAATGCAATTTTTTCGAACTTCTTTTGAAAAGGTGCCATATTTTTAATATCAATTTGACAAATTAAGGACTTTTTAAAAAAATCTGTTTAGTGTAGTATTCAGAAACTCCTATATATGGGTAACAACCTGAACTGGGCCCAAAGACGTTTCAAAATGAAATAAATTTATATACCAAGTTAATTTTCCCAGAGACATTGAAAAATCTCCAGTAGACACTGTTAATTTGCTTAATTTGAAAATTTCTTTTATTTTGTTCTTATTTTAATGTTTTACCTATTTCTACACATATTTCAAAAAAAAGAAAGAGAAATGCTTGAAAACAAAGAAGTGCACTGTGTTAATGTTAATTATTCTTACATATTGTAAGCATCTTATTATGCATAATCTGGAAAGTAACATTGGTTGCCACAGTTTGAAGATATGATATTCATAATCCTCAGAGTTGAGAGGTCAAGGTTACTGGAGTCTTTTATCGTCAAGGGTCCTAATTCGGTGGGGTTCCTAAATCGGTGGTATTTCCCGTTGGGCACGCGCGTTTTCTTATAGTGCGAGATCTGACGTCATCGATTTTTGCGTAGTGATTGTAAACACGGAAGCTTATGACTCTGCGAAAAAAAACTCGAAATGTCAAAGAAAAGTGTAAGTAAATAGCTGTTATTGTCATATTAACGTAAAATACCATATTTTCTTAATGCTAAAAATATCTAAATGTAATTGCCTTCTAAATATAGATTTTTAAGCAATAATTAATCGAAATACATACTGTAGACGCAGCTTACCGTCTGCGCCTTCAAGTCACGTGACTGTCATGTGGCTAGCATAATTAAGTAGAAATACAGGGATGTCCAAAAGTTAGTGTCTGTTATATGTTTTTGAGTGTTTTGACAAATATAATTGTCTTGGTTTATTGTTAGAAATTAAACAATTACATAGAAATTAGTTCAAAAATCTAAAGAAAGCTAGTAAAAGTATATATAGTATCATGTGGAATGAATGAATGAATGATTGAATAAATAAATAAATAAATAAATAAATAAATAAAAATAAATAGTAAATAAATAATTTTATTTCTTTATAGATTGCATCAGATAAAATAACAAAAAAATACAGACCCTACTCCCCAACGTCTATGACAGATGCCTATCATGCAATTAAGGAGCATCGAATGTCTGTATGGAAAGCAGCTAGGGTATACTGTGTTCCGGAAACCACACTGAGACAAAGAGCATTGGGGAGAGTTGACCCTGAAAAATTAACAGATTTGGCATTCTTTCCCAAGAGGAAGAAGCTGCATTGGTTGAACATTTAAAGGTAATGGCCAGTTGTGGCTACGGATACACCAGAACAGAAGTGGTAAACATGGCCTCAGAATATGCCTGCAGTTTGCAGAAACGTGATAGAAATCATCCGTTTTCAATGAAATGGTTCAAGGGCTTTATGCAGCGGTGGCCAGAGCTTAATGTTTCAAAGCCTCGAGCATTATCGGCTGCCAGGGCAAAGTCAACTTCGGAAGAAGTAGTCTCAAATTACTATCATGAATTAGAAACCATTCTTAAGAAGTACGACCTAGTTGATAAACCTCAGTGCATATACAACATAGATGAAAAGGGGCTACAAACAGAACACAGACCACCCTGTATTGTGGGTTCTAAGATGTCAACAACACCTGCTATAACATCACCCAGATCTTCTACAGTAACTGTCATAGGTTGTGGCAATGCGTTAGGCACACAGATGCCTCCGTATTTCGTTTTCCAAGGGGCTCGAATGAGACAGGAATTGATGGATGGTGCATCGGAGGGCGCTCAAGGCACAGTGACAGACAGTGGTTGGTCGAACTCTGCAGTCTTTCAGACTTACTTATCTGAACATTTTCTTAAATATGTTCAAAGACCGAATGAAAACCAACCCATCCTCATTCTTTACGATGGACACAAGTCCCACATCAATCTAACGCTTGTTGACTGGGCAAAGCGACACAATATTGTTTTATTTGTTCTGCCTGCCCATACCAGCCATGTTCTTCAACCTCTTGACCTTGGATGTTTCGGCCCATTTCAAAAAATCTATAATGCAGAATGCCATAAATTTTTACGTGAAAATCCATCTTCAAAAATTACAAGATATAATATTTGCTCGTTAGCTTGTAAAGCTTATGCACATGCGCTTTCACAAGGAAATTTGCAGTCCTCATTTCGACGCGCTGGAATTTTTCCATTGGATAAAAATGCAGTGGACAGTTCCTATTTTGCACCATCTGTAGTTTTTTCCGCAGCAGAACAATGTCCAGATCAAGATGCAACTTCTTCGACTTCTTCAACTCAAGCAAAATCAAGCACAATATCTGATCCTAAATCCTTCTTTAAGGTACACACAAATCCTATTTTGAACAAAACAAAATCTGTTCTTACTGAAAGAAGAAACATTAGCAAAGTTGTAAGTGGTAAACCAATTACAGAAGACGGTGTTTTGCAAGAAATGAAAAATTACTCTGAAACAAAACAAACGTCAAAAAGAAAAGAAAAAACTACTTCTACATGTTCTACACGTAAGGAATTATGTGGAAAGAAAAGAAAACACAGCATTTCCAAACAACCTGAGTCCTCTGATATCGATGATACCGATGATGAAAAAGAGAAATGCTGTGTTTGTAAACACTTTTGGCCTGAGGAGATTAAGGAATGTGACTTAGTAGTTTTTGTAAAGTGGGCTCAGTGTAGCATTGAAAAATGTAACCATTGGACCCACTTGCAGTTTTGCTGTAAAACAAAAGTAATAAGACGTGGGGATGAATTTATTTGTCCCTGTCACAATAAATAAAACTTGGATAAAATTATAATTTATCCCTTTTTTCATTAATACAATTTAATATTCGTTATACATAAGTTTATGTCTGTGGTTCGTGCTATAAGGGTAAAAACTTTTGAAAAGTACCATACCACCGATTTAAGTACCTCAACAGTTTTGCTTACGTAAACAACAAGGAATTAAGAAATCGCGAGAAAAACAAATTAAAGTTTTTTAAATTAGATAATATGGATATAATTGATTAAATAGAGAGTCCTTAAGAGGTTAGTGACATTTGTTTTATTTTCAGCGATCTCGTTAACATTATTTTATCACGTAGTTGGTTAATACCACCGAAATAGGTTCCTCGAGGATACTGTGTAATCTTCAAAAGCTTTTCAAGTGCTTTTAAGTACAAGTCTTCTTTTTATGTGGAGTTAGACAGGTGAATGTATTTTGAATTAACCCAATTCTAATTGATTACCAACATCAGTTTAAATAAAAATGTCAGTGCCTAATTCTTAACTTGAATAAGTCATTCCAACAACCAACAGAATATTGATCACTATAAAGTAAATCTAGGAAAGTTTTCAAAGAAAATAGATGTCTTTACTTAAATATCACCTGTGCCTTCAAGGTGTAACATTTTCATTTTTACAATTACCTTGATATTTCAGAAGTGCTTTTAGATGCATTTGTACTTTAATGCAAAGGATCTTACTGAATTTGAAAACAAGTTAAAACCTTTTTTACAACTACCTTGATATTTCAGCATTGCTATTAAATGCATTTGATGTACATTAATGCATAGGATTTCACTGAATTTTAGAACAAAAGGATTTTACAAAACAAAAGTTTATATTCAAATATCAAAATCTGCATTAATTGTAAAATCAGCTTTAAAATGTTTGTATGCCTACTTTATAGAGAACATAGAATAGTACAAGAGGCCCGCGGGCCTTATAGGTCACCTGAGTATTGTGTAACAACTTTCAAACAATTAAATTTGGTCGTGTTTTAAACCAGAGGCCATGAAATTCACAATTCACAATTTTGAAAGAGGCACCATTGCTTATCATAATTATTAACTTAGCATGCTTACTCTATTTACTTAATACCCAGAGGTAAATAAGAGTAACAAAGAGAAAATGCACTTCCACTTTATAACCAGTTGTGTACCTCACCCCCAAAGGAACCACTGACCCAGGGCCCACATATTTCAAAATTTTGCAAATTTTATCATAAAATGGTTGATTAATAGGAAAGAGCAGATTTCAAAGCATTAATTTATTTTCAGACTATGTACCTCCCCCCCCCCCTCTGCTCTGACCCAGGGGGCATAAAAACCACTTTGCTGGATGCCTTTCTTCATCATAAATATACATACTTGGATCATTGGCATAAAACCCAGAAGCAAATGAAAATACTTTCGAAGAATAAATGTATTTTTACTATATAATCTATAGAGCCCCGCCCTAACATCAGAACCCCTGACCCTGGGGCCATAAAATTCACAAATCTGGAAGAAGCACTCCTGCTCATCATAACTTTGTACTTAGTTAGCTTATTTAATACTCAGGAGCAGAGAAGAAGATGTTCAAAGAAATAATGCATTTTCACTATATAATCTATATAGCCCCGCCCTAGCACTAGAACCCCTGACCCTGGGGCCATGAATTTCACAATTTTGGTAGAGGACTCAATGCTCATTACATTCATGCCAACAGTTTGACTGCTTGATGTCCAGGAGTAAAGAAGAAGATTTTTTAAAGATTGCAATAATTTTAGTGGTTTTGGCCCCACCCCTCAGGCCCCAGGGGGGCAGGGACCATGAAATTCACAACTTTTGTTCCCCTTCACCCATAGATGCTGTGTACCAAATTTGGTTGAAATTGGTTCAGTGGTTTCAGAGAAGAAGCTGAAAATGTTTAAATGTTGACACACGACACACGACGCACGACACACGACGACGGACGAAAACGGATAGCAATAGGTCACCTGAGGTGACCTAAAAATAGATTACTTTGTCAGGTTTTTGATTTTTTGTTCCCGCACAACAGGTCCAAATGCACCAGCTGCCTTGTCATCTGCCAAAGACATTGTAGACTCTGAAATTACACAATAAAACATGATTAAATTTTCCTTTGAATAACAGAAAAAAAGTGCAATTATTATTTTCAGGACATTAAGACAACATGAAGCAAAAGGTTTTACATGTATTATAGCTGAAGGTAAACTCCTACTTCCACTTCAACATTGATAACTAGTTTCATTTCTTATATTTCCTCTTATCTATATTTTTTTCTAAATGATATGTATTAAATTTACAAGTCTTTTCTTGATATTTTAAGCAAATTTGTATATCTTGTCCAAGCATTAGCCCAATACATAAAATAATTCTTCATTAGATTGATTTCATCAAAGCCTTATAAAGGTGTCATCAGAGTTAGCATTATCCACCAGCTCATCAAGTGATAAATTATGTTATGTGGTACTGTACTGTAGTTTACCACCAGCTTAGTAACTATTAATCAGAATGTATAAATTTTAACTAAGCAGGAAATAACAAAAGAAAACTCTCTTCTATTTTCTTATATTATCACAGAATTTCCTTCTAGACAGAGGCATGATTGAAGACTATCAAGTGAATGTAAAGTACATGTACTTTGCAGTATACATTTCTCACAATTTCTAGCATTTCATTTTAAACAATCTGAATTTATGAGCAATTACACCCTATTGCTAAATTTCTAAATTTTAAAGGTCAGCTTTGAAAAGTACTGCATAACAGAAGTTAAGTAGAGAAGTTGCCTTGTTTGCCATTTAATTTGAATACATGAAATATAGCTGTCCAATAAACTAGTTCTCTGACCTGCATCATCGCCTTTGGCTAACACATCCTGCATAATATTGTATAACTGGTCCTCATCATCAACAAGAGTCCCCAGATTTGAAGATGCCCTAGATTTTTCTGTACCCTGATAAGGAGATGCCTTAGATTTATTGGCTTTTACTGTCCTCTCTATGACAGTTTCTCCAGCTTCATCCGATTCAGAATCGTCTCCAGAGAAATCATTATCAAACTGTGAGTAGTAGGTGTCAGCAAGTTCAGGGTTCTCTGGTATTCCTAAACAGTAAACAAACAAATCTTACAGGTTATGCTTTACAACAATGTTGTGTTTCAAAAAGGATTGTGAAATTCAATAAATCAGCAGATCCAGGGGGATAATGTGAGGGGCATTATCCCTGCATCTACTGAGTATTCAATCTATTTGATAAAACTTTATAAACACTCCACCAAGTCAGTGGAAAATAATCTTTCATAGAGATCCACTCTTGGGCAGAAAAAATATCCTAGATATGCTCAAATAATAATTTCACTTATATGTAAATGAAAATCAATTATACCTTATTACATAAACTTAAGGTCAGACGAGACGTTCCTCAATATCTGTTTTGTATATCTTCGTAATGTTTGAAAAATATTCTAAATTTCAATAACATTCTGATTTTTAAACCAGTTTCTAAACGTTTTGAAAAGATCCAAACACTTAAACATTTGAAATTGGAAAATTATTTTTTTTCCAAAAAGGATTATATAAGAAAAACTACCCCTGGTATATGCAGAAATGTAATTTTTTGTGTAAAAAATCAATACTTAATGAAAAACTCTTGGAAAATTTTACATTAAGGAACTTAAAATAAATGCATGTACAGATTATGAGTTTTCTTTTATAAACTGATAAAATTTATTGAAACTTTAAATAACCTTCAACAGTGCCACTGACAAAATTAAAAATAACATATTTATAATAAATAATTTCAATATTGGATTACATTTATAAATAATTCATAAAAAAAATTAAAAGGGCATATATAAGTTTTAAATTACACATGTACAACAAGAAAAAGAAAGAAATTTCATTTGCAAAAGAAAGGTTATACTGACATTTTTCAATAAGAGTTTGGTTAGATTGGTGCAAAGAAAAGTGTGAACAATGGGGAGATAATCCTACAAAAAACATAAAAGATTTCAGAGAAGATATTCTTGGTAGGGCTTACCATCTTTAAAATCTAGTGAAGAATTTCTGATGTCATAAATCATTTTATCTTTGAGGGGGGTTATAGGTCGTTCATCAGGATTACTAACTGATCGGGGGACAGTCAATGTTTTGGAAAGGGGCATGACTATGTCAGCATCATCATCACTTTCTTCGTCATCTTCGTTAATCAAAACTGAAAGAAGACATGTGTTCTTAAAATCAAATACATGCTTTTTTTCTGAAAAGGGCAGGGTAACAAGTTTAAATTTTAAATGTAAAGTTTCAATAATTATCAAATTATGTTGTATGCATTTCAATTTGATTTCAGTTTCATGGCTTAGATACTGTATGGGTATAAAACAGTGCAATTTAGTGTTCATTTATAGCAAACAATCACAGTCAATTCAATGTAAAAGGAATGCAAAATCACATCAAAGAAATCTAGCATCAGGTTAGTATTTTAACTGAATATTTATGATGTTAAAAATGACAATATAAAATAAATGAATATTTATGATGTTAAAAATGACATTTTAATACCTTTTATTACAAAAATTAAGTATCATATTAAGAGTGTTTTTCTTTAATTTAAATTTAAATTAATGCTTAACTTTCTGAATATAAAATGTAAAAACACTTTGTTAGGTAAGGCACAATGAACATCACTGTTTTACCTAGTTCCTCTGTTCAAGAAAAAACATTTCAGTTACACTGAATGAATTTATTAAAATTTGACATTTTTATATAGATTAATATAAAAAAAAAATAAGTGTGAATTCAAAATAACTGTTAATTAAATTATTCTACCATCTTATTAATTTGTTTGAGGATTTTCCTGTGATTTTAATTAGGTAAAGTGGAATAGTGCCACGCAAACACTCACTGGGTGCAGTGCGGGACCCAAACCGACTCTTCTGACCTTCAGCTGCTATAGTAGGCCCTCCCTTCACTGTCAGGGCTGCTTTAAACATCTCCCCCTCACCGGATCCCCCAGCCCATGCAGGCACCTGTAAAGATTAAAAAATTCTCATCTTATTTTAAAAAAATATATACAATTAATTGCAATAAACTGCATATCATATACAATATAAAAAGATTTATTATTTCTGCATAAAAGACGTTTTATTAAATATCCATTAGATAGATACAGAAAGGCTATAAAAAATAGTGATTGTACCTTACTGGGAATAATATAATGAACATCAGTAGCATTTCAAATGGTATACATGTATTTCTGATTTCTAAAATCAGTATTTCATGTGGTTTATTTTGTATTTCTGAAATCAGCAAGTCTGTCCTAGTTTACTCACACTGGATTTATGGAGAGTACTCTGTATTCTGGAGTTTCTTTCCTGATTTTCTTTTAATTGCACTTTTGCCACCTCTCTGAAAAATTTACATCAAAATTAGAATTTCAAAATCCTCACAATGAAAAGAAAAGGAAATAATAGATTTATAGCAGATACCGGTACAATATATTGTAGCTATTTCATAGATACCAAAGAAGTCTGCTTTCATCTGTTCATCCATAAAAACTGATAGAGAAACAGAAGTAATCACACTGTCAAAGTTAAAGAAAAACAGACTAACCTGAGCCTTTTAGCCTCCATATCAGCTTGCTGGAGTTTCCTTAATCTCATTCTTTCTCTGGGGGGCAAGTTTTTTAATTTCACCTCCTCCTCCCTGGACTTTAAGTCACTTAAGTAAGACTTTTCCGTGCTGGCAAAAAATCAAATTGATTCCATTTTAAAAACCCAATAATTCCAATACACTTAACACTTACAAACAATAAATATAAAAGCTTTGGTCCTTACAGTAACTTTGCAATATCTTCAGCATCTCTGCTACTGTTTTCTTGACTTTTGGCATGAAATTCTTTTGACAGTTTCTGAAAGTAATGACTTGCAATAAATGAAAGATGATAAGATTACCTGACAATTAATGTTGATACCAGACATTAGTCCATTTTTACAGCATGTAACAGTTTTAAAACATTTATTTTCTGCCTTCTGGTGCTCAAAACAAATCCTTCAAACACTATACTGATTTATCAATTCAACTCTTATACATGTATAGGGAGTGTGGCATGCTAAGTCTAGGATTTTTATGAAACTTGGCGCACATTTCTGAAGTGATATATGAAACTAAAATCCATAATACAATGGTTGCCATGATCAATGGTTATCACTGCAATGAGCAAATGTTATTTTAAATATAAATCAATACCTGTCTAAAAAAAAAATGAGTTTTAAAGCTAAAAAATATCTTAATGCATACATTACAGTACCTTTGCATTTGCATTACTATCCTTACCGCAATATGGTTCTTGATCATAGGAACTTTTAACAAGTCTGTAGCTGAAGGTCTTTTATCAGGATCTTTAGACAACATTCTATAGGATGGTAATAAAATATTATTATGAATTCATACCTTTAATTTAAAAGTTTAAAACAGTAAAACACACATTCAAGAAATCTTAAAGCTTTGTCTTTTAAAAATATAATTTTAATTTTTAGGCAAGTATTTCAGTATAAAAACTGAAATTATAGACTGTTTCAGAATAACTGTTGTACTTCTAATTTGGGAATATGATATACAAAATAGTTTTGTAAACTTGACATAATTGCAATTGCTAAAGAAATGCCAATAAAATTACTTTATAAAACTCATATAAAATAACTTCACCGAAGTGTAACAACTCTCTCTAGAAAAAATTCATAATATATTATAAAAGGTTTATACAGGTGCTTACAGTTTTAATACGTTGTTTAGTTCTGCAAACTTATCAGGTAGTTTTGGGACCTCTCCCTCTACAATCTTATACATTACTGCCATCAGACTCTTCCCATCAAAGGCATGCTCCAGTGTACACATCTCATATAGTATACAACCTATAGACCTGTAACAACAATTTTATACTTTACCAAAAATCAGGAATTGCCCTTCAAAATAACAAATCTCGTAATATACTGAGTCTAATATACTGTAAATCACTTTTTATTCGCGAGAACTTTATTTTCATGTAATTACGCGAGACTGTGTGCTCGCGAAAATTTAATTCTAGCGTATAAAAGTATTCCTTAAGAATATATAGAGCAATAACCACAATTCGCGAAAAATTTTGTCTCGCTAATCAAGAGTCAATGACTATCTTGCGAAAATAAGGTGTCGCGAAAATTTAGTGATCTACAGTACCCAGTAATGATCCACACTATCAACTTACGATGACTACATCAGATAAAATAACTTAATATTTTGACAAAATAGAAGAAAATTACATTTAATCATCATTCATGAAATATTGAAATTTAATTTGCCTACCAAATGTCTGATTTAGAATTATATCCTTCATGCTTTAACACTTCTGGACTCATATAATAAGGAGTTCCTGTGAAAGTTGACGCTAAATCTGTGGTACCCATCAAGATTCGTGATATTCCAAAATCTCCTATCTTAATCATATTTTGTCGAAGAAAAATATTTCTGAAAAACAAAATAATTATATACAAAAAATATAGGTAATCAAAGATTATGAAGCTCACCTTGACGAATGTTGTCAGTTTAAGTAATGCAAATCTCACATCATATTTTCTTAACAGTTAGTATTTATCCTGACAAAATATTCATGCAAGTTCTGATTAAACAGGTCTTAAAGTTCATTGGGTATTGACCTGTTCCAAAAATTTTAACCTGGTCACTCGTTAAGAAAATGTACATGTAAGTCAGATCCAGCATCCGAAGCAAGTCTAGTAGTGTCCATCCCTAGGTGCATCATCCATGCAAGTTTGATCCAGGTAGGGCTTATAGTTACTTTGGAATGGACCTACTCCAAAAACTTTAACCTGGTCACTCGTTTAGAAAATGTACACGCAAGTCAGATCCAGCATTCAAAGCAAGTCTAGTAGTGTCCATCCCTAGATGCATCATCCAGGCAAGTTTGGTCCAGGTAGGGCTAACAGTTACTTGGGAATGGACCTGCTCCAAAATCTTTAACCTGGTCACTCATCTGGAAAATGTAGGTCAGATCCAGCATCCAAAGCAAGTCTGGTAGTGTCCATTCCTAGATGCATCATCCATGCAAGTTTGGTCCAGTTAGGGCTTACAGGTTATTTGGGAATGGACCTGCACCTAAAAATATAACGCTTATGCCAATGCGGGGGGTATAGCATAAGTTTATCTCGACTTTGTCGAGGTGAGCTAAAAATATTCAACATGTCCCTGATTGAGCGACCATCCTGATTTCTCTGTATAGTTCAAAATATTACTAACTGTACAATCCTTTAATAATCTTTTACTACTACCAAACAAAATGGCATATACAAAGTGACCTACACTAAATTGTTTTGCCAACCAAATTAGCAGCATTAATTAACATCCCTTGATTCTGAAGATTGCTTTATTGTGGAAGAAGTAAAAGAATATGCTAGGAACACAAAATTAGTAAAATTTTGAGGTGGCATCCTAAATATACAGAGAAATAAATCTAGGAAAAATATGCATATTTGTGCACAATAAATATACATTTTTTCAGTGGGTGGCTCATTAATTTATCATATGTACTAGGAACACGTGCTTTTGTTTATTATGTGCTTATAATCGCGACAGTAGCTATTGGTCAGTATTTAAAGGCCGATACCTGTTAAACAGGTGAACAGGTATTCAATTCAATCATGCTTTTAACTCATTCGAAGGCTTTGCTTTGCGACATTCACACCCACCCACCCTCTTACTTCACCCTCTTACTTGTATTTTGTTTAATAAAGAAAGTTTAAAAAAAAAAATGTTTTCATCATAAGAAAATTAAAAGTTTTGTACACAACAGATTAATTGTCAAAGATGGAAAACAATTTGCTAAGTCGCTCTAGATAATTTGATGTAAAATGGAACATAATAGCTACATATAGTCGAAATGTGTTTACAGATAGTTCTAACTTACATTTATTTTGCATAGGTTTGCATAGGTTTTACTTAAACTATTCGACTAATTGTACATTATAATTTATGACACTTACGTAAGTTTGTGAGAATGAGTCCACCATTCATTTTGTTTACCTCGCAACTGCTGCGGACTTACAGGTTTCCATAGCTTTTTCAACATAAATCGATGTTGTTTTTTATCTATGGTTTTCCTGGGCGGCTAGGGAAGCATAATTGTGTTCATACATGTATTATATATTATGTTTTTAATTGGTGAAGTAAGGACATATAAAAGGATTGTGTTAAAATGCATTTTTATACTGTGATGTGTGATTAATTATTTTTTGATATATTGTAGAAGGAAGGTAGAGAGTCGGTACCATTGAAGACTTGTGTTTTGTAAATGTATACGTCTAATAAATATTGGCAAGCAAGTGCTTCCATTCCTATATAGACAAGTGTTCTTGTTTTGATTGTAAATAATTTATGTTCGTTTGAGTGAAACGAATTAGAACATAATGTAGCTCTCTGGTTGTCCATCACAATTTTAAATAAAACTACCGTAGATGCTTAATTACATTCTTCCAAGTATAAATGCAAGTGCAAATACAGTATAGGTATTTGAATAAAGCATTCATAGATGTGCCAAGCAAATGCTTAAGTTTTCTGGATATCCCACTTGTGAATAGCTAAAACATATCTTAAAGTCTGTAGCTTAACAAAAATTATTATGCAGGAGGCCTTAATACCTGGTTTTTAGATCCCTATGGAGAACACGCCTCTGATGCATGTAATGGACTGCTAACAAAAGTTGAACAAACCAGTCCATTATCAACTTAGAATCCAGCTGCTGTTTATTCTTCACACATTCATTTATTTTACAATCCAAATCACCTCCCTTTAAAGCAAAGAATTACAAGTGAATTAATTATTGCTGATGTATATTTATAAAATTTCTATTGAAAATTTCATTTAACCAAACAGATTTTAATACATGTAAGGTAAATAAATTTTAGACTAAATTAGACAATACACGTACAGTGAAACCTGATATCTCAAACTTGAAAACTTTGAAACTGTAGATACTAGATTCCTATTTATATGCGAGGAATTAATTATTGTATAAATTCACAAGAAACATCACTTGCAAAATGAAATATCACGTTTTTATTTATATGTAAATTCTCTCGATAAACAGTCCAATCGCGAATTATTATTCTCACAATTTGCCATAAAATAGCCATTTCGCGATAAAAGTTACTTGTGAAAAATGAAATATCACGTTTTTATTGGGATTTATATGTAAATCTCTACGAAAGTTGAACAGATTTATGATTATTTTTTTTGTTCAAATTTATATGGAATGGAACATTTATAAAGTTACCTCACAATTTGCCATAAAATAGCCATTTCGCGATAAAAGTTACTTGTGAAAAATAAGGATATCTCCTTCAGGACTTTCCTAATGTGAAAAATTAATATTATTGAGAAAAACATGTTGCTTAACGAGGTAAAATACGTTTTAACGCAGCGTTCAGGCACGTCACAGTACCCTTGACTGCCGATGAACACAGTGACGTCACAATTAAAAAAAATTGCTAAATGTTTTGATCTTGGATACCTAGTATCTATAGAATATACATGTTGAAAGCTGGTATTTCTACTATTTACCTGTTTTTAAAAAATATTTTTTTAATTAATGAACAACTTTGGAACATGATTTATTTTGAGGTATCAATTTCGTGGTACATATTCATTAATTTTACCTTGTTTTATTTCAATTTATGAGTTTAAAAAAAAAACACTGCAACCAAAAGTAAACGATTTTAGTCTTTCTCGTTGAACATGTTGAAGTGTTTATACACATCCTTTTTTTATTGAGGACTTAAATATGCATGGATCAGCTTGAGTTAAAAAAAAATTAGTCTATGAATAATTTAAATGCAACCCCCGAAATATTCTTTTTTCCATATATATTACATGATATTAGTAAAAGCTGTCTTTTTTCACGTATAACAACGTCGCGTGTTTAGAAAAAAAAATAATGCATGGAGAGAAAATTATTTTGAAATGTAAGAATTTTTTTTTTAAAGAAACTAATACAGTATTGCAATCGTTTATTGATGTTATGTAAACCCATGGCGACTTATTTCAAATCTAGTTGGATAAAATAATCCTAATTTTGTGTTCTGATATGCCCCCTTTTCACTGCAATAAAGGCTACCTCCAATTTTCTTTTCATTTTTTAATAAGAAGAATGAAAATTGAATGATATATGTGAAAAACAAAACATTTCATCATGTATTTTTTTTTAATTTTCAATTTCTTTGTTTATTTGAGAATTTTACTATGTAATTGTGTATAAAAACACGAAAAATGGTCCATATCTTGACCGTGCCCCCATTTTACTACAATAAAGGCAAGGTACCAAAATTTCATTCTAATTTTTCTAAGCACAATACATACAAAAATATTTCCAAAAATTAAAAATTTTTATCATTCCGTTTTCGTAATTTTCAACTAGATCGGGCCTCGTTAAATTCAAAAACTAGTGAACATCCTTTTTGAATTAGCAAACACAGTATGCAGCACTTGACACTGCAAGCTATAAAGGCAACAACGGGCCAAGAGAAAATTTGACAGTGCACATCAATGATTCAAAAAAAATTCTTTCGTAGCTTCAACACCCATAAGTAATGCAATGTCACTGCTAGTTAATTTAATGGACATTTCACCAAGTTAGTAATCATTCTATGATAAAAATTCACATTTTTCAGACTATGTTATAAATAAAAATTCTGGATTAAGTACTAACACTTAATAAGGAATGCTTATTGCAAGTACTGAAACTTGAAAAGCCCCCAAATACCCTGTGTTTCTCATTACATCTAAGTACATGAAATTTGCAATTCAGAAAGGCATGAAATTAAAATATACATACAAATCATATTCTTCTGTGTCTGGGATTTTGGATCTCAGATCCTTGCATAGATAAGCTGTGCCAAAGTTGCCCTTTCCAAGTTTCTTGACAATTTCGTATCGATTGGCCAGTACCCTGGACGACTTCTTTGACGATTCTTTTTTCCTGTGAGACATCTTTGACAAAGTCTTTGTCGTGCAGCTTTGGAACTCTGCCAGCTATCTTCCACAATCAATTATCCGTTTGCTTTTGCCCTTCGACTTGCAACGTTCATAACATCGATATGGATATTCAAAAGCAGTAAATTATCGCCGAATTAAAACAGCATGATAAAATATAGTCAAAATTTGCAGTTGCCCCTTCTAAACAATATTTCACATGTTTTCGTTGCAGTGTGTCATATGGATATCGGCCATGTTTTTACCTTAGCGTCGCTCGTTACAGCCGACATAGATACCTCGTGCATCGTATCCAGCTGTAAATGGCCTTGTTGCAAATTTGTTGTGCTAATTGGGGATCGGTTAGGCAGACATTTATTGGTATACCTCTATGTCTCCCCCTCTACTGATAATATACAGGTGCTACTGTTTACGTGCAGATACCCGTTCAGGCCAAAATGCACCCTGGGATCAATCTGGGTCATCAATATGTTTTATAAAAACAAGAACCATGACTATACCTCGAATTTCCGGATTTTTTCAGAACAACATTTTGTTTTAAATATTTATTTTTTTTATTGCTTAAAATAAATCAATTATGAACAATATATCAACAAAACACACAAATTACCTGTCATTTACACTGAATAAACATCGTTTGAGAATAGCTGACCTGATTTCAGAGACCCATGGGCCACATGGCTCACCTGCGCAGAAGTCAGTTCAGTATTGAAAAGTTAAAAATCCATAAGGGGTCATAACATACCAATAAAGGGGAGAGATTATGATTTGAACATTTCTGTATCTAGACTAACTATGAGAATGCTTGCATATTTCTTCGACTATCTGTAGCTTTCCTACCCTTCATTAAGTACTTTTAAACTTACACCCCACCCCCTAAACAAAAAACAAAACAAAAAAAAATTAAATTTAAACTTCCTGAGGATGCTTCCAGATAAAAAGATTTTCCCTATATATTCCTAATTATGTATAAAATTTTGATTGTCCCTTCTGGCTCCACCCTACCCTCGGGGGTCATGATTAGAACAAACTTGAATCTACACTTAGTAGTCTACCTGAAAATCAAATGCTTCCATATAAATATTACCAGTCATTGTTTTGCTGTTCTTGAGAAGATCTTTGAAGATTTTTCCTATATGTTTCTATGTAAAATTTGATTGTCCCTTGAGGCTCCGTCCTACAATGATTTGTTTTGTGGCAAAAATTGGCTCTGGAGAAAAGAGGTTCTGGAGAAGAAGTTGAAAATGTGAAAGGGACTACAGACAAAATGTGATCAGAAAAGCTCAGGTGAGCCAAAAATACCAATAAAAAAAACTATAGAAATAATTTATATATTTTAGGGCCAAGTGGTTCTCAAAACTTAAAAATCCAACTCTTTTCTCTATTTTTGTAACAATGACAACAAAAACCCTTTAATTAATCAATAACCTGACCTGTACTTATGCCTAGTATGAATTGGTGCAATTTTGACAAGTGGTTCTGAAGAACTCAAAAATTACAGATGGATATATGAATTACAACAAACAAACTTCAATCAGATAGACTCACATAAATCATAAAATCAAGTTCACTTCATGTACTTTTCATATACATTTTGTACTGTTACAAATCATTTCAAATTGGTTAAAACATTTTAATATGGTAATGCATAAAATATGTATGTCCAATTCCTAAAATAAGTAAAATATATCTATCACAAGTTTGTATAATACATATATTATCATATAATACAATTTATAGTAAACATGTAATGATTACATGAAAAATATCTCTCTATAATTGTTCCATAACAACATGGAGTTTAATTATATAATTATACATATCACAGATTTTTTTTTCCATTAAAGCAAATATTTGGATTTTCAAAAATAAAATCATGTTGGAAAATAAAAAAAATTATATACATGGAACTTTAAAATTGTTCCTAGAACACCCAAAGATCACTTCAAAGGGGCCTGGGCAGAGTTGCATTGTGGTTTTGTAACAATTTTAAGGTCAAGATCTAGTAAATAACTTTAGACTAACTTTTTGGTGCTAGATCCATTATGACGTCATAATCACTTTCAACTTTCTTTTTCCCGTACTTTACGGCTCTAATAGAATTATGTAGAAAATAAAGTATTTTCATGGAATTCAATTTGAAATAACCTGAAAAGTAGTCCGGATACCTATATTCAATTTAACATTATTTAAAAGAAGAGACCAAGAACATACAAATTACCGTTTTCTGAAAGACTGTAGGCAATCTGGATATATTTTGTTTGTGTGATATGGAAAAAACTCCCATATTCATGACTAATTTTGTTAATTTTTCATTGAAAATGACAGTTTAAAATATGGTTTTTCATCTTATTTTCCTACAAATTATGCCCCGAAACACATTTTTTGACCAAGCTAAAGTTATTAAGCATCATTAAAGGAATTCATTTCTTGAATTTGATAAATCTGTAGGCACCCTTCATTTACTAGATCTTGACCTTAAAATCTGTTTTTATTTTCAAGAAATAACTGAAGTTCAAATGAGATAAATTTACAAGAAAATTCTAAAAATTCAATGAAAGAATGTCAAACATCTGTATTGGTAAATATGGAAACAGGTTGTTATTGCTTACATTTCATGGGGTGTTTTCAATTTGTTAATCGGGCACACATCACTGACAATACTGGTGAATTGTTGTCTTTTTACTAAGAATTTACTGCATTTTAGTTTCCATATTTTTCTTTGACAGATGACAAAATTTTCCACTGTTTCATAAATATTTAGGATTAAGTTTTCTTTGTGAATTGCATGGGTGTGTCTCAATCAATCAAAAACATCCTGCAATTCATAGTTTGTGATTATTGTTCAGATGCAAACAAACATAAAATAATAAAAGCATAATATCTTGTTTCATTATATTATCTTCTCAAATTATTTACCAGTATTGCAAGGTTAAAATAAAAAAGAAAGTAAAAAGACAATCACATTGCATTGCCAGTATTCTTATGTCAGTAGAAGAATACGAGAACCTGAGAAAGTACATCACAGATATGAATAAGCATATATTGATACATGTATAAATGTTTCAAACAATACAACACTTCAAAATAATTTTTGATACAAAAGTAAAATTTGTGTCATTTATCTTTATCAAGATAATAATATTTATGATGATATTTTTCCTTAACACGTCAAATAATTCCATATATAAGGCTTCAATCTGAAAAAAAGATATAATCTGGCAGATTAAAGCCAGCTTGAATACAGAATCTTTTACGCAGTACAGTTAAGGTGCGCAATGGAAATATCGACTAATTTTTGTATTTAAAAATGTATTCGTAATCGGGATGGCGATTATTTTTAGTACATTATTTATATCGGATAATTGTAATTATGATTAATAATACAAGGACGATTATATTTTATATTTAGACTAGTCACGTGATGTCAAGCGATTTTAGCACATTGACTTGAAGTATTGATGATACATATAAATGTCACCAGTGCAAGGGCATAACCAAGATAAATTTCCAAGTTTAGTATATAAATATTTTCAACGCATTTTGTAGTTTCTAAAAAGTGTTGCGATCTAAATTCTGCAAATTGTTAAAATTATTGTTTGCTATATTTTTTGCTGGTCAGCGGCATGAAATATTGTAAATTGTTTTTAAGATTTCATCAGGATCGCAGCACTTTTCAGATACCTTTATCTAGTTGAAATGTAAAAGCTTACTTTGATCCATAATATGCCCTTTAGATCGATTTATGACCCCCCACATTACCCTCCGATGTACTTGCATACAAATATACGGCAGTGTTAATTTTAATGTACAGAAAATATATTAAGAAGAAGACATTAATTCCAATATATTGGCTTAGAATATCTGTAAATAATATTTTATTTAATAGAAAATACATATTTTGTTGAGAAAATGGCAGATTAAAGCCACTTGAATCACAGAATGTATTTTACTTGTTTATAACTTGTTATGTGGGCCAAAACATATCCAGATGCCTACTGGTTAAATTAGTCACCATTTTTACCCATTTTAAAGGCACCTTGTGTGATTGAAGCTCCGCCTCTGTAGCCAGATTTGACTAACATAAGAGAAAAATTATGCTCCAGACAAAGATTTTACTTAGGCACATATATGCATGTGATCTTATACCTTATATCTTAAACTTAGCAATTAGACATTCTTTAGCAAAAACACTCTGTGGATGAAGTATAATGGAGTAAAGGGAGAGAAAAATATTTTTGAACAATATAAAATATACTTTTGACTTCCACTGTAGGATAGATAGATGGATAGACAGGTTAGTGGACAGACTAGTCATGAAAGGGCACCAAAAACCATATGGTCATAATGTTATAACTTTCATTCCTAGCATTTCTACATGCAGTTACATGCATAAGGAATTAACATTTGAGAGTAAATGCCTACCATCTTTGTTACTTAAGTATGCAAATATGAGTCACTGTGAATGAATGATTGTTAAAAAAAAGAAGATAATTTGTGCATATGGCACAATACACTTGGCACAAAATAAAATTTAAAAATGTCACAAAAATTACAGTCAAATATAATCAATCACCTACTGACTAAAGATCATATAAACAAAGTACTTGTATGTATAAAAAAAATTGTTTGTGACTGGTCAACCAAATATTCATGACAAATTCATTGTATAAAATTCTCAAAAATTAAAGCTATAAAATCAAACACATGTGGAGAATGGTAAAATCTAATACTCATTGTGAGCTTCATACAGTGTATAATTAAGTATGGCTAGCTGTTTCAGGAATCCATCATTTGGCAGGACTTCTCTCTTAGATCTCACAGTTCTAACGGCTGTCATAAAATTCATCCCTCGCTTTATCATTAGAAAAGCCAGGACAATGGAGGCCGAGCGACTAATACCTTTATTACAGTGCACAAACACTTTGCCTGCAAAGACATGCATTTTTTCTTAAAATATTATACAAGTATAGTAACAATGAACGTGGATTCTAGATAATTTTTTATAGAAGAAAAAAATCTGGGAGGGTACATCAGCTAAGAAGTATTTGAAAAGAAAACTTGATCCTCCCCAAATCTGAGCCAGGGATAATGACCCTAAGCTCTAAGGGTATTACATAAGCTTCCCCCAGCTGTGTTGAAGTGAACTAAAGATAAGTTTAATTTCTGGAAAGAAGCTTTAAATGTTACAGATATCAAATGACTGAATGAAAATATTTAAGAATTTTAGCCAGGTACATGTACTTGTTATAAATACAATCTTCTTACCCCCTTTGGCTAGGGCCTCATCTATAAAGTTTGCAGCTTTCTCAAAATGTTTGGACATATCAAATGTGATTACATCATTAGCCTGTATTCCAAGAAACCGTATGCCAACATCTTTGAAGTAAGAAGGACTTGTATCAAACTGACCATACTTCAGACCTTTGGCACAATTTACGACATGAGTTACTCCAATCCTTTTGAGTTCTACTTTGTTCTTTGCATAGTCTCTAAAAGATCATGGAATTTAATTCAAGTTGTATCAGAAATCTCTTTTTTTTCTTAAAAGATATATCAAAAAGATAACACAAGCAAATTACATGTTTTCAAGTATTTTCTTAACAAGGTTATGCAATATCGATAAAATTTAAAAGCTTAGATAATCAGCGCCAAGTTTTGTACACAGGAGCACTGTGGTAACAATCTTGATGTCTTACCCATTGGCTATGATGATTCCAGTGTACACCTCATTGTAGGAATCTTTGGGAGTAATGGGAACAGTGAAGAACCGAGAATAACCCTCTGGTAACTCATCATTTCTGTCCAATGCCTGAATGTCTGCATTCTTCAAGTAGTGTCTGACTCTGTTTAGAGTATGGGTGTTATACTCCATTCTAAAATACACAGAAAGAAGTCATTTTACATTTCAAAATTTATAAACCTCTGGATGTCTCAATCACTTTTTAGAGTTGTGAAAAATCTCTTGGTCTTTCTTTTTACATGCAAATACCCGGTATACTGTAAACGTATTACATTTGGCTGTATATTCTTTTTAGCGGCTTTGGCGGATCGCAACAACCACTAAATCAATTACATAGCTAAATGTCCTGCACGTAAACTAAAAGACATAGATAAGAAGAAATGCGCTAAATCAAATCTATGCTAACTTATTCAAAAGTCAATTTCCGCCAAATATCGTACACGCTAAATATAATACATGTACATTTACAGTATATACCTCATTCAAATTTCTAAGATTTTTATTTAAATGCTTCCCAAGAAAGAGTTAATAATCATGTTATTGAAGACTAAAAATTTCCTAGTAACATCTGGTTCAAACATTTTCCTTACCTTTTCTGTTGTCCTTTGTAAAGTCACATTCTGCAAAATAAAATGGCAGTTCTATCAATTAAAGTGCACAATGCATGATCTCAGTCTGTTAAGGAGGAGCATGTTCATATCTTAGTTTTGGTCTTTAAAATGGATGAACTTTGACTTGATAGAAAATATGTTTGAAATATCAAAGCTTTATCATTTTCTAAGCATTTTGAAACTCAGAAAGCCAATGAAAAATTACAATGAATTTTTTGCCACTGAAGGAAGAGTTTCAAACTAGTGTGACATCCAACTATGTTCTGAACATTTTTTTCCTAAAAAATCACCTCAATACAAAACAAGACATTGGATGAGATACATCAATTTCTGGTTAGGGTTTTTGATGAAAGATAAAACCAGAGACCTTGGAATGGAATACTCAGAGGTCTCTGGTTTTATCCAAGATTAGGGGGATATAAATGTAGGATAAAACTATATTGAGGTGATTTTTGAGGAATAAATGAGTGGTTAACAATAAAGAAGCTCAACCAGAGACTTCTGAAACAATTGACAAGAAAAAGTCTCTACAAGCAAAGGATATCATTTTAAAATAAGTTAATGACTGATATATTGACAAAATGCGAGATTGAAGCAGGGGTACCTGAAATTGAGTAATGTACCTTGTGATTAAAAATAAGTATGGGTGCCCAGTAATTACACCTTATACGAAACAAGTGAATGTGCCTGTGGTAACAAGAATTAGGCCAAAAAAATATATACTCTTGTTTCCTGTCACTCGACCCCTACCCTACAATTTACCCTCCGACCCTAAATTTTTTTTTTTACATTTTCATTTTTTTGGGGGGCTATTTTCCTGAAATATTAAAGTCGACCAACAATATTTACAGAAATAATACATCACAAGTGTACAGGATACCTTTACTTTATAAATCTTTATTAACAAACTTGCTTTGTAAACTGTTGACATACTCTTTCTTGTTATTACATGCTTTGTTCTGCATTCATTGAGTTCTGAAAATAACATTTTTTCTCATATAATTTTTTTCCCTACCTTAGTACCTACCCTATTTTTTTTTTTTTTTTTTTGGTCAGGGGACAGGAAACAAGAGTATATTTTCTTTTGGCCTTAGAATAGATAATGTATATTTTTACCACATAAAAGGATTTTAAAAGCTATATAGCTAGATCAATAGACACTTAAATTGTGGGGTGCTTCTGCTCTTCAGCTAAATGTGACATTAACTATTCTACAGGCACCTCGGTACTATGAATCACTGGAATGCCCAGTAATCACCGAAATGCCCCAAGAAATCACCGAAATGCCGCCGAAATGCCCCTTATTTTGTTATATATAAACAAAAAATTAATAAATATTGATGACTTTAACTGTTCTAGAGCCTAGATACCGAACAAAAATTTCATAATTTTAGCGTAAGCATTTTTATTTGAACAGAAGATTGTGCATGTTATAGTACCTAAGAAAGATAACTCTCACTGAGTAATGACACGTGCTATAATTTTAATTTTTTCCTTTTTTCCTTATTTAAATATATTCTAAACAATGAGTCATATTTTTCACATCAATTAAAATTTTGTTTGTAATATTATATAGGTACGTATATTCTTGATTTCTAAAAACGGAGTACACTAGTGTAATTTTACTGGAAAGTCCTATCTTTATATTAAGTTTTAAAGCAAATAGAAAGATCTTTTTACGTTTTAATAGTTTAAAAAAATATTTACCATGAATGAATTTAGTAAAATTTCATTGTTATCTGATATGAAAATGGGATTATTAATGCAACAATTTTCTAAAATCTTATCATTAAAAGTTTGATTGGATCTCTAACTTCTCATCAGTATAGTAACAGCTGCGTAAAATAGAATCAATGCTTGAATACTGTGATTGTCTTTTTGGAATTCTATTCAATTTGTATGAAAGAATCCTAAAGAATATTGGATCCTCTGGTAACTAGCAAAGAAATGTTTAAAGAAAATAACAAAATTTATCAAAATTATAGTTTTGTTTCGTTTTTGTGTTTTATAAAATAACATTTTTTTTTTTAAGTTTCATATTTTTTTTTTACTAGTATTAATGATTATAAAATGAAGACAAAATTAATTTGATTTATTATGTTTAATTCGTCTCACTGAAGCAAATGGATATCTGAAATTATGTTTACTGTGTATACACGAACAGCTAATCTCACTGGGATTAATTAAGTAATTGATCTATTGACAGATGTGTAGTATTATGTCATATTACATAATCAGGTACATCACAATCAGTGATCGAAATTACGCACGTGCGCTATACAAACACTGAAATGGGTATCCTGGGATAATGAACTACATTTGATTCAATAGAAATAGTAAAATTTGACAATTTTAGTGTATATTTTTTTTTTTTTTAAATTGTTGAATTGGTTGAATACACCTTCATCGTTTTATGAAACAATTGCTACTTTGGAAAGATTTGCTAATTTACAAGAGAAATGTTCTGTACAATGTTTGACCTGACTGACTATGTATCTAATCAAGTAACAGAATAAAAAATCATTAATAGAAATAGTAATATTTACATAGCCTTAACGAAGTACAAAGTTTAAAACCTTTTTTTTTTTTCATTTTATGACTGCATTTGTCTTTTGAAATTCTTACATCGGGGTCGTAAATTATCACGGGAATTTGGTGTACCGGTACCCCCTCTCTCGTTTTGCTTGGTAAAACGTTAACTTTATGGTCTGTAAAAGTAAATATATACAATAAAAGATAAATTTACTAAATGAATAATGGCAGGTATATATATTTTAACGCTAGGCCTATTTCCCCCCAACAGGCGTCTGCAGGCGAATAAATGGTACAACTTGGTTCACAATGCAAAAAGTTGGAAGAAAAGGAAGAAAGAAGAAAGTCACAATTTTTTCTTATATCATAGTTATCATTTGTCATCTAATTTTCTCCGAGAAATATCACAAGACATTATTATTTCTTAGATTTTAAACATTGTAGACTTCACTTCGTAGAAGGTCATCACCAAATACGAGTTATCGCCCTTTGAAGTACGATACGCTTCAAGCACAAAACATGAAAATAATTAATTTTACCGTCAGTCATGCTTTACTGAAAAAAAGAAGCATTAATTTTTATGAAAAACATAATGTAAAAACATATGTAAGGGCATTTCGGTGGTTTTGTTGGGCATTTCGGTGATTTTTAGGGCATTTTGGTGATTATAGGGCATTCCGGTGATTCGTGTTACCCCCAGCACCTGGATTTTCATAAATAGATATATGGGGCAGCATTGTTCGCTCATTGATAAAAATCCAGATGTCTTAGTTCGAAAAATCTGACATTTTCCTGGCTTTTTTACGATTTTTATATTTTACATGCCAGGAAAACGTTTTTCTGGCACGTAAAATATAAAAATCGCTTCTAAAAAATCCAGGAAAATGTTCCAAAAAGATACATTTTCCGTAAAAATACCATCTGTTTTCGGACTAAGGTGTCTGTGCATTGCTCATTAAAAATAAATTTAGATGGCATAGTTTGTTGGTTGAGACGTATCTAGTGTAAAAAAGAAAAAGGTTTACAATACCTTTCTTCTTGGCCATAAAAATTGATAAAATTTATTTTTAGCAGTTATCTCTCAAAACAATCAAGGTAGAAAAGATGCTTGAAAATTATGGAATAAATAAGTTGAGTAAGGTTCTTTCGTTAGGTTGTATATTTTGCTTCAGTATGTAATATTTTACAAACTATTGTTTCTGAATATCGTTGTTTGACTTTTTCTAGGGATAATTATCGTGATTTATAAATTGATAAAATAAAAGATAGTAATTTTCAAAACGAAGAAAACTCTTTGTATGAGCTACCAAAACAGAAAGCAAGAATCAAAGTCAGACATAAGTTTCTTCATATACTTTTTAAGTGTTTTGATTTTATAAGTAGAAATGACATGGACGAAAAAAATTATTGATTGAAAAACCAAACACTGAAACATAATGGTTCTTCCAACAGCCATTTCTTTTGTTTCTGGTGTGATATTGCGGCTAGCCTTATTTAGGACTTCACTACCCGAATGGCTTGCCACAAAAACAGAAGTTGTTACTCCGCTTACATCATGGGGACGCGGTATGTGTTAATTTCGGTCTGAAACTTAATATGTTGACGGTGCGACCGTTATGGCGAGCGCAGATATTTATTTTGTTATAATTTAGATCGGGCTCGTCAAACTGCACGTGACATTTGGTGCGTTAGACTCTTACGTCACATGACGTCGTATATAAGTTACATTTCCAAAAAAAAAAAGCCTGAACAATGCTGAAAGTAAATGAAGAACATTTGGTAGCTTTAACAAGTGATGCATTGTGGGTCCAAATTACTGTGTCAATAAATTCTATCAAATGAATGTACAGTAGTCCGATTTTTTTTCTTCTTTGCACAGGCGTTGCTCTAAGAGCTCGCAGTGACAAGTGGCGCTTCGGTATAAGTTGCAATGTAACGAATGGGATCCGATTTTGAAGAATATTGCTTTGCGTTTATGAAGGGATTCAAGTTTTGGTACTGATGCATATGGATTTATACTGCATAACAGAATTTATGATTTTTATTTCATTCACCATTTTCTGAATGGTATACAAAGACTTATCTCTTAGTCACTTTACTTCTCCTTTACAAGTCAGACTTGAGAAAATGTGTCCACATATTAAATAGTGACCGCAGAGAGCTTCGCACTATGACGCTTGCTAACAACAACGTCTAGGTCAAATGGCAGATACCGTAATTTCGGGATTATAGGTCGATGGGGTATATAGGTCAAAAGGCTCATTTTCAGCCTAATTTTTTGAAAAATCCTAAGATTGGTCGAACTTACTATATAGGGCGAGGTTTTGTTTCCCGTTTTCTAAAGATTCTTACGCAGATACAACGTATCAGAACAGGTAAACCCTAAAATTACCGGGGTTATTCCGTGACATGAACGTATCAAGAAAACAAACAGGTATTTTAATGAGCATCAATTAAATAAAGTTTTTAAAAAAAAATAATGTAGTTAAAACTTCTTTGGATTGTGTTACTACTTATTTTTCTCCAACTTGCCTGTTCAATGCCTCCGTAGTTTCACACTGTTGTTAAATTAGAGGCATAAATAACACGTGAATACGTTATTATTTTACAGCTATAATTCGGGAAATACCCGAGACCAAAGAATAGTAATTCCGATTTCAGAACAACTTTGACACATTCCTAATAAATTTTATTCAGACATTATTTACCGGTGGACGACAATTACTTCGATGTCCACCATTTATATTTTTCTTCTCCAGGGACTTGCTAAAACACGCAAATGACCATTGAATGTATATATATCAAGCAACAGTAAAGAATTGAAATCATATTAACACTCTATAAGTTTAATTTATAAATTTAATTGAGAGTACATTCACAATTTGACTGTCAACATGAATTACACGGCTTTGTTTGTTCAATGATGTGTAACACTAATACACTATTACGGCACGTGGGTTTGTTAATCCTGCCCCGCAGGCATTTAAACCAAACAGGTGTTAAACACCTTTGCGTACACAGTGTAAATTCCTTTACCTGTCAGACAATTAAAATTCTGTTAGAAGCCAATCTTTGTATACCGGTAATTCAATGTACTTCTTGTGTACGAAGCGGTATTATAATTAAAATTAAAAAAAAAAAAACAGTAATGACTCACGTTTTTTTTTAAACATTTTTTGGTAATTAAACTTTGGATATGAATGGCAACAAATTATTTCACTCATTTTACATTTAAATCCAAAAAAAAAGCCTGACATAACATAAGACAATAAAAGTATTTAATATACTATTTCAATTTATCGCTACTAATAAATGGTAAAAACACTACAGTTGTGTTCGTGAAAAATTTCCGTATTTTAAATTTTGATACGGTTGCGGTTTTACTTTTAGTACATGATCGCGACTTCCTAGCTTCACAAGATGGATACCGCATGATTAACACGTTGCGGAATTATTTAATAGATGAAGCAATGTTGTTTTCCTTTGTCATCAACGGATAATTAATGGAACTTATTTTGTAAGAAAGCTATAGAATAAATATTTTATTGTTTACCGGGGCATTAATTTTTTTGCGAAAAATAATCAAAAAAGTTACAAAAGTGGCACAAATTTGCTTTGAAATTGACGTAAATTTTACTGATTTGGGGGCATTTTACAAGTCAAACTTGAGAAAATGGTCGAATTTTAATATTGGTGACCCGAGAGGTTCGCACTATGACGCTTGCTAAAAACAACCTATATGCCGTAAATTACGGTATATAGTAAATAAAATGTTCTTCATTACAATCAACACTGTTCAGGCTTTGTTTTGGTAATGTACCTTAAACAGAGTCTAGATGCACCAAACCTGAAGCGTCAGGTGCGATTTTTGAGCCCATGATCAACTAAAACTGAATAAGTATCTGCGCTCGCCCCAACGTTCACACCATCAACATATGTTGATAATGCAATTGTTATTACAGATGCAGGTGCCTTTTAGTTTAAGGCCTTATTAAGATTGGGTTCATCAAACTGCTTATGACATTTGCTACACTGTGACATCATATGAGGTCGCATGTATAATGCATTACCAAAATTAAGTCTCACCGTCTGAACAGTGATTTTTTTTTAATCAAGAATGTTTAATCTACTTCTTAATGTTATCTGCTAGATATTCCATCCATTTATTATAATAATCATTTTATTTTTTTTTGGAATTTTTGTTGCAATCTCAGAACAAAGTTTATAGCAAGATGAAATTGGCTAAGCATTATTGGTCCATATGTAACTGCAGAAAAATGCAATTTGGATCAATGTGCAAAGTCTGAATTTTCTTTTTGTTTAGGTATTGCTTTTAGAGCTTGCAGTGACAACCGGTGCTTCATGCCACTAGCTGGACTCTCTAAAACCATTTATTTATAGTATATGCTTTATTTTTTTTATTTGGAAAGAAATATGAACATTTTCTCTTAATTTCAGCAATGGAAGGACTAGCACTGCACAAAGAGGGCATTTCCCCATATACTGGTGATGTTTTTCATGAGGTAACTACCTAGTATCAGCAATAAATCATCATTCACATGCATAGTAATAAATTAATTGCTTGTTAGCATGTTTACATACTGCTTTAAGATAGAATTGGCTAGGCCATGCTATAAAGATGTTTCATCAAAAAGAGCATCATACAGAAATTATAAACCTTCTTTAATTTGAAACAATCTCTTATTTCCCTGGAAAACAACAAAAAAAGTACTTAAATGATTATGTAGGGGCAATTTTGATGGGGCAGCTGGAGTACATCAAACTGTGGTGGTCAGACAGGTTTGATCGTCGGTGGCCAGATAGCTCAGTTGGTAGAGCACCTGACCTGGAATTGACAGGTAAAAGACCTGACAGGAATGACCCTGGGTTGGGGTCTTTGGAGGGCCAAAGACCTTTATGGGGCCGGAATTAAAAATATCTTTGTTTCCCCTAACCCGACCCTAAATTCTCAAGTTGGGTTTGTATTTTTTCCTCAATTTACATTTAAACATATTACATCTGGAATTGAAAATACATCTCTAGGGAAATTTAATGGAAAATTACATTTATAAGTAAGAAAAGTACAAAAGAAAGCGATTTGTATCAAACATGCTGATTGAACATGTTAAAGGAAAATTCATGATTAATTTATTTACAACTGTCATTTAGTTGAACTTGTGAAATATCTTACCACAACATTCATATAAATTGAATAAAATAGACAAGATTCTCAAATATGCGAAGACCAGACATACGAATATATTTTTTCAAACCTTTCTAGCCTTCAGATTACAAGACGATCAAATCATACTTTTTTGAGGGCCTTTCCAGATATTGCAGTGGTTCTGAGCATTTTTAGGATTAACTGAAGAAAGTGGCTAATTTTATATAGCAGTAGCCCTTTTCACAAAAAATTGCTTATGATTAATTTTTAGGGTAAGAGAAAACTTACGATTTTATATGTTTCAGAAAAATTTTATGATTCTTACGTGTAAAATTTTTTTCTTTGAGCCCTAACCCTCTCTTAAGTATCATTAAAAATGATTTTTGTAAAAAAAGCTATCTCAAAACCCAAAAGATGAAAAATTATAATTTTCAAGCAAAATACAATAATAATGTATGCGTTTTGAACGTTTGTTGTTGAAAAATCAAATGAAATACACTACAAAATATTTACGATTTAATTTCACTTAAGAATCGTACAACTCTTACGTCATACTTGTAATTGTGACGTCAAATAAAACGTCTTGAATTTCACTCATTACACTTTCAAAGGATATAATGTTTGTGGATAAATGATTAAACAGCTATATTTTTATTACCATCACAAATTTAAGGATTATAAAGCATATTGAGACTGTTGTAAGGAAATAAAATGTAATAAAATCTTGTTCAATCTACTACGAATGCGTTCGTGAAAACCATGAAGATTTGTCAGTAAAAATTGTTTTAAAATCGTAAATTTAAACTTAAGAATTATTGAAAATGCTACAGGTTCAAATCCCAGTGACAACGTTAAACATTTCACAAAGATGAATCATCAAACGTATGTCCAGTGTTGATGCTTACCAAAAAAGACCCACACTGCTTAATGGCCAAAAAAAGTGCT